GCTGCCTGCGTGTGCCGTGGGTGCGAGCAGCTGTGTGGTGGGAGAAGGAGGGAGGGAGGGTGGTGCGGGGGTGCATCAGGAGCGAGTGTTGTGAGAAGAAGCGCTGTGTGTGGCGTGACAGGAGCGGTGAGTGAGTGAGGAGTGGGTGGCTGGGTTCGTGAGAGAGAGAGTGGGTAGCCGTTGTGGGTGACCGAGTGAGCGTGTGGGTGACCGAGTGAGCGTGTGGGTGACCGAGTGAGCGTGTGGGTGACCGAGTGAGCGTGTGGGTGGGTAGTGGCGTGGGTGACCGAGTGGGCGTGTGGGTGGCTGAGTGAGTGAGTGTGTGGATAGTGGCGTGGGTGGATGGCTGAGTGAGTGGGTAGTCGTGTGGTGGCTGAGTGAGTAAGTGTGTGGGTAGTCGTGTGTGTGGGTGGCTGAGTGAGTGTGTGTGTGGGTAGTCGTGTGGGTGAGTGGCTGAGTGAGTGTGTGTGTGGGCGGGTGGCTGAGTGAGTGTGTGTGGGTAGTCGTGTGGGTGGGTGGTGAGTGTGTGGGTAGTCGTGTGTGTGGGTGGCTGAGTGAGTGTGTGGGTGAGTGGCTGAGTGAGTGGCTGAGTGAGTGTGTGTGTGGGCGGGTGGCTGAGTCAGTGTGTGTGTTGGTGAGTGGCTGAGTGTGTGTGTGGGTGAGCGGCTGAGTGAGTGAGTGTGTGGGTAGTCGTGTGGGTGAGTGGCTGAGTGAGTGTGTGTGTGGGTAGTCGTGTGGGTGAGCGGCTGAGTGAGTGTGTGTGTGGGTAGTCGTGTGGGTGAGTGGCTGAGTGAGTGTGTGTGGGTAGTCGTGTGGGTGAGTGGCTGAGTGAGTGTGTGTGGTGGTCGTGTGGGTGAGTGGCTGAGTGAGTGTGTGTGTGGGTAGTCGTGTGGGTGAGTGGCTGAGTGAGTGTGTGTGTGGGTGGTCGTGTGGGTGAGTGGCTGAGTGAGTGTGTGTGGGTGGTCGTGTGGGCGGGTGGCTGAGTCCGGTACGAGCCACGGCGCCACGCGTCTACCTCTGTCCGTCTCCACGGTCGCTGACATTTTTCGTGGCGACGTGAAATATTGAACCGGCCACTGTGACTCACCGCTCGCTGCTGGGTCATCACCCCACCCCCCGGCACCCACCCGCCCTCTCAGCGAAGAGGCGACTTCGAACGAGCGCACGAGGAGAGAGAGGAGAGCTGCCGTCATGGGATGTTGAGCGTGATCCTACAGGTAAATGCAACGTACAATCCACTCGCTCGCTGCCGGCACCACCACCACCAACCACGACTACTACGGCGATCCTCGCTCCCATCGCTCCACGTCATCGTGGTCGCGCTCCACAGCGCTGAGCGGGGCAGCGGGCGTGGGGTTGGCACGAGCTGACACGAGCGGCCACAGCCACGCGGAGGCGAGAGGGGAAATATGATTGAGTTTCCCTCCCCGGGTCGCCGGGTAGACTTGCGTGTGGGTGGCATGCGACGATAATGAGCTCGTTAAAGCGTCGTAAAAGCGAGGGGTTTGGACTGCACTGGACGTGGGTCTCGCTGCGTTCGGCAAAGGGTAACGAGACCGGGCCCGCATCATCCGGACGGACCTTACCTAATCCGCGAATTCAATTTACAAAAGGTAATTGCGCCACGTGTGCGTGTGTACTTAAGTCTGATGTGTGTGTGCGGGGAGCGGTGGTGGAGTGGTTAGCGCTACGCTGCGCTATGAAGCCCGCAACCCGAGTTCGATTCCTGCTCACGGCCACACCGGTGACGATTATTTGAACCGGTCCTGGGTCGCCCCTAACTCGACTCAGCCTCAAATGAGTACCTGGTGCGTAAACATCTCCACTGGGGAGACAAAGGCGGTCGGGCGTGGTGCTGGCCACCCATCCCATCGTGTACCGTTCCTGCCTTCATAGGTGCTCGCTAACAGCACTTGTCCCAACAATCTGTTGATTCTTTACGGGGGATCTTTGTTGTCGTTGTGTGTGTGCGTGTTTAAATGTTCTAATCCGCGGGAGGATTAGTGAGCGAAAGACGTTCATTATGATGCCTTTTGTGTGCCGACTGATCTGAAACACAGACGATTCCTTGGGGGTGCTTGCACTGCCGTGCCTAAAGGGCTTGATTGAATCCGTGTGGTGTGTAGCTTTATAAAACGCATGTATAGTCATATACTCATGTCACTCCACTGCCGAGTGACGGCCTTCCACCCCGCGAGTCGTCCCCTCGTCATGGCTGATCGTTTGGCCATATTTCGCCACGCCGGTCAGTGCGGGGTGGTGAATGTTTCGTGGTGGACGGGGTGGAGGGAAAGGCCGCAGTTTGCGGGTCAGAAATCACTCGCCACTGATGTCTCTCTCGAGCCGCCGCGGACAAGAATTTAACCCCCCTCGCCCCCGGGTGCATTGTGGCGCAACGCGCTAACCACTGCGCCACCGCTCCCGTCGTGTTCCGTGCGTTGGCAGACGTGGATAACGCCGTGGTGTCCGTAGTAACCGGTTAACGAGTTCTGTCGTAACCGGTTAACGGGGACCGCAGCCACCCCGGGCTACACGACTCACAAGAGCTCGTGGCGCCACGGTGGCTAGCAGATGTTAACTACCTCTCGCGGTATGCAGGAGGTCGTGGGTTCGATATCGCGACCCTGACGCCTGCTGCTGTGTATTTCGAGTTCGCGTGGATTTTTCACCGGGACCTCCGGATTTTCCCTTCACACTTAGAAACACGCGTTTAGAGTATTTGACTGCTGCTATAACTTTCCACGCGATGGTGACGACGATAAGCCCACTTCGTTGGGCTACCATCTGTGATGGCCAGGGTCGCTTCTGCAAAAAGTGCCACATCGCTCAGTGGGGCCTTACCTGGTACAATAACAAACAAATAGTTACGTTCGCAGTTGCTGACTTTGATGTTCGAGCCAAATCGGGACACACACAGGACGCAACTGCGTGGTGTTCACCAACCGACAATCCCAATTGTTGAAACGTCACCTGCACATCGCTCAATTGGGATGCCACAGCAGCAGCAGCGGTAGCAGCAACATCGCTCCGTACTGCTGCCAGAGGCTGGCAGGACCCTCCTGAAGAAAGTCACGAGACTCAGTGAGGCTTTCCTGGGTCAACAAGCGGATTGATAAGCATGGCTCCATCACGAACTCTCAAACCTCAACTAAAACTCGTTTTTATTTTATCAGCTAAGGCCCCGCTGAACTACTATAGAAGCGACACTGGTTATCACAAATGATAGCTCAACGAAGTGGGCTTATCATCATCATCATGACGTGGACATTTATAACAGTAGCAAAATACTCTAAAACGCGTCATGCCGATACTACATGTGGAGGGGAAAAACCGGATAACCCGGAGAAAAATCCACGCAACCACGGGAGAGAGAGAGAGAGACACGCAAACTCCAAATATACAGCAGCAGGTGTCAGCGTCCGGTTATCGAACCCACAAACTCCTGCATACCCGGCGAGGTAGTTAACATCTCCTAGCGACCGTGATGATGATGAGAAGAATGACACGCAATCTCAAAATATACAGCCAGCCGTCAGGGTTGGGATATCAATCCCACGACCTCCTGCATACCAGGCGAGGTAGTTAACATCTCCTAGCCACCGTGATGATGATAATGATGGCAGAGAGAAAGTGACACGCAATGTCAAAATATACAGCAGCAGCCGTCAGGGTCGGGATATCGATCCCACGATCTCCTGCATACCAGGCGAGGTAGTTAACATTCCCCTAGCCACCGCGGCGCCCGTGTGACACCATGGTCCTGTCATACCGTCAAACGCAATGTTTGAGATATTGGGGCCACATTCTGAGTGCTAGAGAGTTGATCGACTTACACAGAGAACCATGAACTTACACAAAGAGCCATGAACTTACACAGAGAACCATGGACTTACACAGAGAGCCATGGACTTACACAGAGAACCATGGACTTACACAGAGAACCATGAACTTACATAGAGAACCATGGACTTACACAGAGAACCATGGACTTACACAGAGAACCATGAACTTACATAGAGAACCATGGACTTACACAGAGAACCATGGACTTACACAGAGAACCATGAACTTACATAGAGAACCATGGACTTACACAGAGAACCATGGACTTACGGAGTATCCACACTCACACGCGAGTCTCAGACTCAAATGATCGCCAGGCGGTGTGCGATGTGCTGTGTGGTTTGCTGTGTGTATGTGATGTGTGCTGTATGCGGTGTGTACTGTGTGGTGTGTACTATGTGATGTGTGTGTGCTGTGTTTGATGTGTGTATGTAATATGTGTGTGGTGTGAAGTGTGCTGTGTACTATGTGATGTGTGTGTGATGTGTGGTTTGTACTGTGTGATGTGTGTGCTGTGTGTGCGGTGTGATACGTGCTGTGTGTGCTGTGTGTTTGGTGTGATGTGTGTGCTGTGTGTGGTGTGCTGTGTGGTTTGTACTGTGTGATGTGTGTGCTGTGTGTGTTGTGTGTGCTGTGTGTTTGGTGTGATGCGTGCTGTGTGTGATGGTGTGCTGTGTGATGTGTGTTTGGTGTGATGTGTTTGGTGTGCTGTGTGTGATGTGTGTGCTGTGTGTGATGTGTGTTTGGTGTGCTGTGTGTGCTGTGTGTGATGTGTGTTTGGTGTGATGTGTGTGCTGTGTGATGTGTTTGGTGTGATGTGTTTTGGTGATGTGTGTGCTGTGTGTGATGTGTGTTTGGTGTGCTGTGTGTGATGTGTGTTTGGTGTGCTGTGTGTGCTGTGTGTGATGTGTGTTTGGTGTGATGTGTGTTTGGTGTGATGTGTGTGCTGTGTGTTTGGTGTGATGCGTGCTGTGTGTGCTGTGTGTGCTGTGTATGATGTGTGTGCTGTGTGTGATGTGTGTGCTGTGTGTTTGGTATGCTGTGTGTGATGTGTGTGCTGTGTGTGATGTGTGTGTTGTGTGTGATGTGTGTTTGGTGTGATGTGTGTACTGTGTGTGCTGTGTGTTTGGCGTGATGCGTGCTGTGTGTGCTGTGTGTTGTGTGTGATGTGTGTGCTATGTGTGCTGTGTTTGGTGTGTTGTGTGTTTGGTGTACTGTGTGCTGTGTGTGCTGTGTGTGTTGTGGTGCTGTGTGTGTTGTGTGTTTGGTGTGTTGTGTGTGTTGTGTGTTTGGTGTGATGCGTGCTATGTGTGATGTGCGCTGTTGGTAGCGGTCGTGGTTATCGCGCTTGGCCACGACATCGACCATCCGAATTCGATTCCCGCCCACGGCCAACACCAGTGACGATGATCTGAATTGGTCCTGGGCCTCCCCTAGGGCGACTCAACCTCAAATGAGTACCCATGCGGTTGTAAAAAAACAATGCCACTGGGGAGACAAAGGTGGCCGGGCGTGGTTGTGGCAACCCACCCCCTGGTGTGCCGTGCTAGCCTTCATAGGTGCTCGCTAAAAGGCACTTGCCCCTACAGTCTGTTAAGGCTATACGGGGGGAGCTTTGTCTTTGTATATGTGAATATGCTGTGTTGTGGTTTTGCTGTGTCATGTGTGTGTGTATGTGATGTTGCTGTGTGTATGTGTTGTGTTGATGTGTTGTGTATGTGATGTGTATGTCTGGACAAAGTCCCATCGGTGAGCTCCTCCGGCAGGCAAGGATGCATTGGCTGGGTCATGTAGCCCGCATGCCCAGCCACCGCATGCCTAACAGCTTTTGTTCGGCGGATCGTGATGGGGCTAAACGAGCGCCGGCACGGGCTAGAGAAGAGATGGAGTGATGTGGTACAGGAGGACGTGGAGCTGAGTGGACTTGCCGATGACTGGTACCAGCGATGTCAAGATCGGCCTCAGTGGAGGAGGCTCGTGAAGGACGCTACTGGGCAGTTGGAGGCAGTCGCCCTCAAACAACAACGGAGGGCGGAGGAGCGACGCTCACAACAACGAGCGGAGTGCCGGGTGGCTAAAGCACAGCAAGTTGGCACAGTAGGGGGCACAGGTTGGTGCATCAGCCAGTCATCTGGGTCATCTGGGTCATCTCAGTCAGTCGACCCGTGGCACCTGCTGGGTTTTCCCCCGTGACCTCCTGCCAGCGGGCGTTCGACACTTCACGTGGCCTCAACGTTGCACCTAGCCTGGCACAAGCGTCGTGGTGACGTCACCGACACTTAGTGGCGAATGGCGGTTGTTGTGTATATGTGCTGTGTGCTGTGTGTATGTTATGTGTGCTGTGTGTATGTGATGTGTGTATGTGATGTGTGGCTGTGTGTATGTTATGTGTGCTGTGTGTATGTGATGTGTGCTGTGTGTATGTGCTGTGTGTATGTGATGTGTGCTGTGTGTATGTTATGTGTGCTGTGTGTATGTTATGTGTGCTGTGTGTATGTGATGTGTGACTGTGTGTATGTGATGTGTGCTGTGTGTATGTTATGTGTGCTGTGTGTATGTGATGTGTGTATGTGATGTGTGTATGTTATATGTGCTGTGTGTATGTGATGTGTGCTGTGTGTATGTGATGTGTGTACAGTACTTGCTCGTGTACTGCATTTGTACTGTACGCACCGTGAGAACCGTTGCGTACTTTACACGCACGTACTGTACGCGCACACCGCACTGTACTCACTGTACGTGTACTGTACTCGCACTGTACGTGCACTGTATGCAGATGGCTGCGCTATGGACCGGCGTCGCGAGCGGAATGAGCCTCCCCAGCATCCTCAACCGCTCCCAGGGTAACCATGGCAACCGCAATAACCACCCTTACCCCTCCCATAGTAACCACGGTAACCACCCTTACCCCTTCCATAGTAACCACGGTAACCACCCTTACCCCTCCCATAGTAACCGCGATAACCACCCTTCCCTCTCCCACAGTAACCACGGTTACCATCCTTACCCCTCCATAGTTACCGCGATAACCACCCTTTCCTCTTCCACAGTAACCATGGAACCATCTTTACCCTTGCCATAATAACCACGGTAACCACCCTTACCCCTCCCATAGTAACCGCGATAACCACCCTTCCCTCTCCCACAGTAACCACGGTTACCATCCTTACCCCTCCCATAGTTACCCGCGATAACCACCCTTTCCTCTTCCACAGTAACCATGGTAACCATCTTTACCCTTGCCATAATAACCACGGTAACCACCCTTACCCCTCCCATAGTAACCGCAGTTACCACCCTTGTACCTCCCACGTTAACCATCCTCAACACGAGCATGGCACTTGCATTTAACAGTGATGGCAGTCGACAGATCTTTGTGAATCTACTGCATGCGAGGGGGCCCCCCCAGCGGAAGCTGCCACTGCGCGGCACCCGACCCGAGTTACGATTCTCGCTCACGGCCACCAACACCGATGTGTCGTAGTAAACATCGCCACTGGGGAGACAAAGGTGGCCGGGCGTGGTGCGTGCCACCCACCCGCTCGTGTGCCGTGCCGGCCTTCGTAGGTGCTCGCTAACCGCACTTGCCCCAACAGTCTCTTAGAGGCTACACGGGGGATCTTTGTCTTTCATCCCACCCGAGTCGTTGTCGGTGGAATTCTTCGATTCGGGCAAATTCTGGGACCATGGACGCCAGTGGCTCACGGTCGCCGACCCCTGCAAACGACATTCGCCGGGATCTTTAGACGCCCGGTGACGATTCTTTGAACCGGTCCTGGGCCTCCGCTAGGTCGACTGAGCCTCAAACGAGTAGCTGGTGCGGTGGGTAGCAAACATTGCCACTGGGAAGACAAAGGCAGCCGCAGTATTAACCAAGGGGGCCGGCCACCAGGGGTGGGAACGCGAACCCCCTGCGTTGAGTGGGCGCAGGGCTGCACTTGACGATTAAAAAACCTGCAAGCAGCGGGAGTAGAGCGGTGGCGGTGGTGGCGGCGGTGGTGGTGGCGGTGGTGGCAGTGGCGGTGATGATGGTGGTGGTGGCGGTGGTGGCAGTGGCGGTGGTGGTGGTGGTGGCGGTGGTGGTGGCGGCGGTAGTGGCGGTGGCGGTGGTGGTGGTGGCGGCGGTGGTGGTGGCGGTGGTGGCAGTGGCGGTGGTGGTGGCGGTGGTGGTGGCGGCGGTGGTGGCGGTGGTGGTGGCCACCGCGTACTGACGGCGCCGCGTGTGGGCCACGTGTGGGCCCAGGGTCGACCTCGTCGTGCAGGGAGCGCTGCTTCGAGGTGACCCCCAGCGCCGAGGACGCGTGCAGCTGCGACGCGCTCTGCATCGCCTACAACACGTGCTGCGCCGACTTCAACGAGCTGTGCATCCAGCCAGGTGCTCTGCCGCACCGCATGCACACACCGTGCCGCACACACCACACACATACACACACACACCACACACACACACCACACACACACACCGCAGACACACCATGCCGCACACACCACACACATACACACACACACCACACACACACACCACACACACACACCGCAGACACACCATGCCGCACACACACCACACACACCGTGCCGCACACACACCACACACACACCACACTCACATCGTACACACCACACACACACCGTGCTGCACTCACACACCGTGCCGCACACACACCACAAATACCGTGCCGTACACACACCACACCACACACACTGTGCCGCACTCACACCACACCACACACACACACATACACCGTGCCGCACACACACCGCACCGTGCCACACACACACACCATGCTGCACACACACCGCGTACACACCGCGCCCCACACACACCGCACGCACCTCACACGCCTTCTCTCATCCCATCTCATGACGACGACGACCTGCTGCTGCTGCATTGGGTTCCCAGCCGTACCGATTTTGCCCTAAATCCGCTTGTGCATCACGGTCACTCGCACCTCTGATGAGCGCGGTTGGCTATGTACGGCGCGAAAGAAGTTCTCGAATCTACACCAGCGACCAGTGAATAATGCTGCACCCGGCACACCGCATACAGCACACCTTTGGCTACTACTCGTCACGTGCCACTTACTGCAGCATATCTGCAACCAGGAGAACATTCTGAGAAACTCTGTGAATCACTTCCAATCGACGAGCGTGTGAGCCTCCCCTTGCTGTGTGCTTGGTAGGGCTCCATCACTCGCTCTCTCCGTCACTCGTCCTTTCACTCACTCCCCTGCTCGCTCCACAGCTCACTCACTCACTCTCCCGCACTCGCTCCCTCGCTCGCTCACCATCGTTCCATCGCACACTCCAGCGCTCGCTCGCTCACTCACTCGCTCCCTCCCTCGCTCATTCCTTCACTCACTCTCCCGCTCCTCTGCTCCCTCACTCGTTCCTTCACTTGCCCCCCTGCTCACTCGCTCCCTCGCTCATTCCCCTTCTCCCCCGCTCGCTCGTGCAGGCTACGCGTGGAACTGCGTCAAGTCGCGCTGTGGGGAGAAGCGCACCAACCAGACGTACTGCAACTGCGCGGACGACTGCCTCGAGCACAGAGACTGCTGCACCAACTACAACGTCGTCTGCAAAGGTGCGTCCCTTCGACCCCCCCCCCCCCCACACCGCGCGCCACGCCTGATGATGACGACGAACGACGGACGAGCGAGCTCTCGGCACATCCGCTCGGCGGTTCCCCGCGACGCCGTCACGCTCGGCGACATCGCTCGGCGACATCGCTCGGTGGTTCCCCATGACACCGTTACGCTAGGCACATCCGCTCAGCGCCGCCGCCACACGCTCGCCGTGCGTGTCACGTCACCGCCGGTGGTGGTGGTGACACTCGCAGCAAGGGTGGTGCCTGAGTTCGACTCCCGACTCTGTGCGGAGGACGTTGTGTTCCCTCTCCTCCCCCCGCCGGTCTACATGGGTTTGCTCCGGCTTCTCCGGGTTTCCTCCCACGAACAAAACCACGCGCAGGTCGGACTGCTGTTGGACTAGTGACATCCCGATGCAGAACGATCACCTCCACGGGACTCAGTTAGGGTCACAAAGATCCCTGCCCGTGTAGCCTGTGACAGACTGTTGAGGCAAGCGCTGTTAGCGGCGAGTAGCAGCACCTGTGACGGTACACGAGGGGGGTGGGTGGGTGGCCAGCATCCATGCCCGGCCGCCTTTGTCTCCTTAAGCGGCGATGTTTACACACGCCCGGCCACGGGTCATGCTGAAACATGACCTGCAAATCACTCGCCCGGCGATGTTTACACTGCACCAGGCACTCAGACTATCGTCACTGGTGGTGGCCGTGAGCGGGAATTGAACTCGGGTCACCGGGCTCTGTAGCACAGCGCAGCACGCTAACGATAGAGGGGTGGACTACAGGGGTGGAGTAGAAGGGGTGGAGTAGAGGGGGTGGAGTAGAGGGGGTGGAGTAGAGGGGTGGAGTAGAGGGGGTGGACTAGAGGGGGGTGGAGTGGAGGGGTGGAGTAGAGGGGGTGGAGTAGAGGGGTGGAGTAGAGGGGGTGCACTAGAGGGGTAGACTAGAGGGGGTTGACTATAGGGGGTGGAGTAGAGGGGTTGGACTAGAAGGGACGGTGAGAGAGAGGAGCGGTGTCGTCACCGGCTGGAGCTGCTGTCGTTTGGAACAGGAGAGAAGCACTGGGTGGACGACCAGTGTGACGACACCGCGGAGCCCGAGTGTCCACCAGGGTGAGTGTCCACCAGGGTGAGTGTCTGCCTGGGTGAGTGTCCACCAGGGTGCATGCCGTGAATACAGCACGGTGCACGTGGGTCCTCACAGAGGCAGCCCCAACGCGTCCGCCTCTCCAGACGCTGCACAGGAGCAGTGAGCGAGTTTATCTCTAGACAGTCATAGGTCTCTGTGTGAGTCTGTGGGTCTCTGTGAGAGTCTGTGGGTCTCTGTGTGAGTCTGTGGGTCTCTGTGTGAGTCTGTGGGTCTCTGTGTTAGTCTGTGGGTCTCTGTGAGAGTCTGTGGGTCTCTGTGTGAGTCTGTGGGTCTCTGTGAGAGTCTGTGGGTCTCTGTGTGAGTCTGTGGGTCTCTGTGAGAGTCTGTGGGTCTCTGTGTGAGTCTGTGGGTCTCTGTGTGAGTCTGTGGGTCTCTGTGTGAGTCTGTGGGGTCTCTGCGAGTCTGTGGGTCTCTGTGTGAGTCTGTGGGTCTCTGTGTGAGTCTGTGGGTCTCTGTGTGAGTCTGTGGGTATCTGTGTGAGTCTGTGGGTCTCTGTGTGAGTCTGTGGGTCTCTGTGTGAGTCTGTGGGTCTCTGTGTGAGTCTGTGGGTCTCTGTGTGAGTCTGTGGGTCTCTGTGTGAGTCTGTGGGTCTCTGTGTGAGTGTGTGGGTCTCTGTGTAGTCTGTGGGTCTCTGTGTGAGTCTGTGGGTCTCTGTGTTAGTCTGTGGTCTCTGTGTGAGTCCTGTGGGTCTCTGTGTGAGTCTGTGGGTCTCTGTGTGAGTGTGTGGGTCTCTGTGTGAGTCTGTGGGGTCTCTGTGTGAGTCTGTGGGCCTCTGCGTGAGTCTGTGGGTCTCTGTGTGAGTGTTGTGGGTCTCTGTGTGAGTCTGTGGGTCTCTGTGTGAGTCTGTGGGTCTCTGTGTGAGTCTGTGGGTCTCTGTGTGAGTCTGTGGGTCTCGTGTGAGTGTGTGGGTCTCTGTGTGAGTCTGTGGTGTCCTGTGTGAGTCTGTGGGTCTCTGTGTGAGTCTGTGGGTCTCTGTGTGAGTCTGTGGGTCTCTGTGTGAGTCTATGGGTCTCTGTGTGAGTCTACGGGTCTCTGTGTGAGTCTATGGGTCTCTGTGTGAGTCTATGAGTCTGTGTGAGTCTATGGGTCTCTGTGTGAGTCTGTGGGTCTCTGTGTGAGTCTGTGGGTCTCTGTGTGAGTCTGTGGGTCTCTGTGTGAGTCTGTGGGTCTCTATGTGAGTCTGTGGGTCTTTGTGTGAGTTTGTGGGTCTCTGTGTGAGTCTGTGGGTCTCTGTGTGAGTCTGTGGGTCTCTGTGTGAGTCTGTGGGTCTCTGTGTGAGTGTGTGGGTCTCTGTGTGAGTCTGTGGGTCTCTGTGTGAGTCTGTGGGTCTCTTTGTGAGTCTGTGGGTCTCTGTGTGAGTCTGTGGGTCTCTGTGTGAGTCTGTGGGTCTCTGTGTGAGTCTGTGGGTCTCTGTCTGAGTCTGTGGGTCTCTGTGTGAGTCTGTGGGTCTCTGTGTGAGTCTGTGGGTCTCTGTGTGAGTCTGTGGGTCTCTGTGTGAGTCTGTGGGTCTCTGTATGAGTGTGTGGGTCTCTGTGTGAGTCTGTGGGTCTCTGTGTGAGTGTGTGGGTCTCTGTGTTAGTCTGTGGGTCTCTGTGTGAGTCTGTGGGTCTCTGTGTGAGTCTGTGGGTCTCTGTGTTAGTCTGTGGGTCTCTATGTGAGTCTGTGGGTCTCTGTGTGAGTCTGTGGGTCTCTGTGTGAGTTTGTGGGTCTCTGTGTGAGTCTGTGGGTCTCTGTGTGAGTCTGTGTGTCTCTGTGTGAGTGTGTGGGTCTCTGTTTGAGTCTGTGGGTCTCTGTGTGAGTGTGTGGGTCTCTGTGTGAGTCTGTGGGTCTCTGTGTGAGTCTGTGGGTCTCTGTGTGAGTCTGTGGGTCTCTGTGTGAGTGTGTGGGTCTCTGTGTTAGTCTGTGGATCTCTGTGTGAGTCTGTGGGATCTCTGTGTGAGTCTGTGGGTCTCTGTGTTGAGTGTGTGGGTCTCTGTGTGAGTCTGTGGGTCTCTGTGTGAGTCTGTGGGTCTCTGTGTGAGTCTGTGGGTCTCTATGTGAGTCTGTGGGTCTCTGTGTGAGTCTGTGAGTCTCTGTGTTAGTCTGTGGGTCTCTGTGTGAGTCTGTGGGTCTCTGTGTGAGTCTGTGGGGTCTCTGTGTTAGTCTGTGGGTCTCTGTGTGAGCCTGTGGGTCTCTGTATGAGTCTTCGGGTCTCTGTGTGAGTCTGTGGGTCTCTGTGTGAGTCTACGGGTCTCTGTGTGAGTCTGTGGGTCTCTGTGTGAGTTTATGGGTCTCTGTGTGAGTCTGTGGGTCTCTGTGTTAGTCTGTGGGTCTCTGTGTGAGTCTGTGGGTCTCTGTGTTAGTCTGTGGGTCTCTGGGTGAGTCTGTGGGTCTCTGTGTGAGTCTGTGGGTCTCTGTGTGAGTCTGTGGGTCTCTGTGTGAGTCTGTGGGTCTCTGTGTGAGTCTGTGGGTCTCTGTGTTAGTCTGTGGGTCTCTGTGTGAGTCTGTGGGTCTCTGTGTGAGTCTGTGGGTCTCTGTGTGAGTCTGCGGGAGAGAGAGAGAGGGAGGCAGTTGGACACAGGAGAATAGGGGCAGGAAGTCGACAGCACGGATGACTGGGAAAAGGGAGTTCCAGACTGTGGGGGCAGCAGAAGAGAAGAGTGACGTCCCGCCACTGAGTGATCGGGTGACTGGGGGATTCCACAGAAACCCTTGGTCACTGGAGAGGAGAGTGCATGGAGGGGAGTGGAGTGAAGTGAGAGGGGAGAGGCAGGGGAGTGCGTAGAGGGGAGTGGAGTGAGATGAGAGGGGAGAGGCAGGGGATTGTGTGGAGGGGAGTGGAGTGAGATGAGAGGGGAGAGGCAGGGGAGTGCGTGGAGGGGAGTGGAGTGAGATGAGAGGGGAGAGGCAGGAGAGTGCATGGAGGGGAGTGGAGTGAGATGAGAGGGGAGAGGCAGGGGAGTGCGTGGAGGGGAGTGGAGTGAGATGAGAGGGGAGAGGCAGGGGAGTGCATGGAGGGGAGTGGAGTGAGATGAGAGGGGAGAGGCAGGAGAGAGCGTGGAGGGGAGTGGAGTGAGATGAGAGGGGAGTGGAGTGAGATGAGAGGGGAGATCCAGGGGAGTGCGTGGAGGGGAGTGGAGTGAGATGAGAGGGGAGAGGCAGGGGAGTGCATGGAGGGGAGTGGAGTGAGATGAGAGGGGAGAGGCGGGCATGGTGTGTGTGATGTTGAAACCGATCCGGGATTGGATTGGGAGCCAGCGTTGACGGGGAGACGGTGGGCCGGGGTGTCTCCGCTAAACACTCCCACCCCACCAAGCAACAACAAAGACGACGACAAAGATGAAAACGCGAGGGGCGACAGCGGCCTCGGTAACAACTCCCCCCCCTCCCCATGTGCGTTTGGCAGCTTCTCGAAGCCTCCGCTCATCCTGGTGTCGCTGGACGGCTACAAAGCCGACTACCTCAACTTCGACAAGACCATCATCCCCGTGGTGCAGAAACTCCGTGAGTAATCCCCCCCCCCCCTCCCCGCCGATTTCCACTCGCACCCATGCGCGCCAGGCCCCGTTGTCTCTCCACTGCTGGATGAGGGAGGGTGCGGGGGTGGGGGTCTCCCCATGTCTTGCGGGGCCCTCCGGTTGGCACGGTCGGCTCCGTGCGGCCGTGCGACAGAAGTTCAACGCACGTGGGTGGTGGGGGGGGGTACAGTAGCCGTGCTTTACCATGTGTGAGGTGAAGGCGGGGGTGGGGGAGCACGGACCCGGCAGGCGTAGAAGTACACTACAACAATGGGTGTTGGCTCAACACGACGTGGAATAATAACGGAAGCGGTGAACGTCGCTTCGAAGTTCAGACCCCAGCGGTTCGGATCCAGCGGCCGCCCTGCTTAATACCGCGTGTGTAACAACAACACCGCGTGCGTAGCAACAACACCACGTAACAACAACACCGCGTAGCAACAACACCGCTTAACAACAACACCGCGTAATAACACCAAAAATTGTCACTCACTTGAGGTCGCACGCGCACACACACGCACGCACAGCAACAACCTGGCAGGATCCTCCTGAAAGTGAGACCGAGAGAAACTCAGCGAGCGTTTTCCTGGTGACTGAGCAGAGTAACCAACGAAGGCTGCAGCTCCAAGTTCTGTGTGAATGTGCCCTCCTACATACCAGGCGAGGCAGTTAACATCCCATAGCCACCATGATGATGAGAGAGAGACGCAGACTCCAAATGTACAGCAGCATTGTTAGTGTCGGGATCGAACCCTCGACCTCCTGCGTACCAGCCGAGGTAGTTGAGATCTCCTAGCCACCGTGGCGCCCCACGCAGGCTCTCCCTGCTCTGTGAGATCACCGGAGTTGATCTTCGGTGTCGTGGCTGTCGACCGCGCGGTTCCGGGTAAAACCGGCAACCAAGATCGGCCATGGCACTGCAGAAGTCCGGCATCCAGCAGTCGGTAAGCGACTCGGGGCTGCCGTGCGTGTGTTCATGTGTGTGCGCATGTTCATGTGCGTGTGTGTGCGTGTGTGTGTGTATGCGCCATCGCTCGGAGGTTCGGAGAGCCATAAGGCACTGCAAGGATGGGTGGTGGTTGCTGATTGCTGAGGAGATGGAGTCTGCCTCAGTGCCCCGCGATCACAAATCACTATTTAACTCCATCAAAAAAGTAACCTGCAGCACCACACATATTATCATCATTATGGGAAAAAAACGGTGATCCAATCGTCGACCTCCAGGAACAGGTTTGCAGATTTGCTGAGCATTTCTGTGAGGTCCTGGGGGAGGGGAAATCCCTCAGCCAGGAAAACATCGTGGCACAAAGTGGGGATGACCCTGCTGAGGCTGCGGTGCCTCAAATATTGGAAGAAGTCACCCCCTGTGAGTGGCTGGCTGAGGTGCCATCTATTGAGGAAGTACTGAAGGCGATCCGGAGTCTGAGACCAGGAAAGGCACCGAGCAGAGATGATCTCCGAAGCGAAATGCTGAGGGAGGGTGGCGTTTGTGCACAGACTGCCCTACATGACATCATAACAACAGTCTGGACCACTGGACGGGTTCCTCAGGATTGGAAGGATGCCCTGATGGTCCCCCTTTTTAATAAGGGGAACCGCACAGACTGTAACCCTAACTCCTCAGTGTGCCGGGAAAGGTCCTGGCAAGGATTATTCAACATCGCCTTGCTAGGCATGCTGAGGAGAGGCTTGCGGAGCCCCAATGCGGTTTTAGGAGAGGGTGGTCCTGCACAGATGCCATATTTTCTGTCCGTCTGCTACAGCAAAGGTATAGGGAATTCCAACAAGACCTACATCTCTGCTTTATTGACCTGGTCAAGGCCTATGATACCATCAGTAGGCCTGGGCTCTGGGTTGTTCTTTGTGCTTTCGGAGTCCCTGACCCTCTGCTCACGATCATTAAGGACCTTCATGATGGTGAGCGGGCCCGGGTAAAACTACGTGGCCGGGAGTCAGAGCCATTCTCTGTACACCTTGGGGTGCGACAGGAATGTCGTCTGGCTCCCACATTATTTAACATCTATTTTGACCATGTAGTTCGTGAAGCCTTCAATAGCTGTACTGGGGGAATTTCCATTTGGTACAGATATAATGGGAGGCTGATCGATGCCTGGGTGCGATCAAGGGATGGCTCCCTATTGGTCGATTATTTTGTAATAGCTGCTCATTCAGAGGAGGAGTTGGAGACACTGCTGCTGAGACTGGAGCATGCCACTAAGAGGTGGGGCCTTACCATTAGGTCCACCAAAACTAAGCACCTGCCTGGGTGTTTTGTACCATCGGACACACCACCCCCAAAACTCCCAATCGGTGATGGGGCAGTATTGGAGAGAGTGGAGAGTTTCCCATACCTGGGCAGTGTACTTATGACTGGCTCCAGTTGAACAGTAGAGGTCTCACTCCAAATCAGTCGAGCGGCAATATCTTTTCATCGGCTGCGTATCGCTGTGTGGAAGCTACCTGGTCTGTCGCTCCGCACGAAGCTTCAGGTCTTCTCGGCCACAGTCATTTCCTCCCTTCTCTACGCTTGCGAAACGTGGACCCCCCTAATGGAGCATCTTCGACGGTTGGAAACATTTAGGCTGGCCTGCCTATGATCCATCCTGGGTTTAACCAGGCTGGATTGTGTGAGGAGCTCACAAATCCTTGAAAGATCTGGGCAAAGTCCCATCGGTGACCTCCTCCGGCAGGCAAGGCTGCGTTGGCTAGGTCATGTAGCCCGCATGCCCGGCCACCGTATGCCAAAACAGCTTTTGTTCAGCCGGATCGAGGGGGCTAAACAGGTGCGGCACGGGCTATAAAAGAGATGGAGTGATGTGGAATACGTGGAGCTGAGTGGACTTACCGATGACTGGTACCAGCGTTGTCAAGATCGGCCTCTGTGGAAGAGGCTCGTGAAGGACGCTACTGGGCAGTTGGAGGCAGTCGCCTTCCAACAACAACGGAGGGTGCAGGAGCGACTATCACAACCACGAGTGGAGCGCCGGGTGGCTAAAGCACAGTAAGTTAGCACAGTAGGGGGCACAGGTGGTGCATCAGCCAGTCATCTCGGTCAGTCGACCCGTGGCACCTGGGTCTGCCCCGTGACCTCCTGCCAGCGGGCGTTCGACACTTCACGTGGCCTCAAGATGCACATGGCCTGGCACAAGCGTCGTGGTGATGTCACCGCCACGTAGTGGCGAATGGCGGTTGTTGTTGTATGCGCGTGTGTGCGTGTGCACTCCGTTGCGTCTCCCCAGGCACGTGCGGGACCAGCGCGCGCCACCTGAGGCCCATGTACCCGACCAAGACGTTCCCCAATCACTACAGCATGGTCACGGTGAGTCCACCAAGCGCATGCGACGCTCGCCACAGGAGCGCGAGGGCCTAGCCGGCTCAGCGTCGTCACGCGGTGCCCCGCGGCCCCTCCCTCTCTTTTTTTGCGATCAGAGGAAACAAAAAGATGCTCGGTGTAGTCGGCACTTTGCTTCGTTCATCATTTCGTTTTGTTTTGTTTTTTTAATATTTGCTTTATGTACCCCCTCTCCCTCTCTGCCCCCCTCTCTCTCCACCCCCTCTCGCTCCCTCCTTCCCTCTCTCCCTCATTCCCTCCCTCACTGTCTCCCTCCCTCACTGTCTCTCTCCCCCTCTCCCTGCCCGGGTCACCGCTCAGGGCCTCTACCCAGAGTCCCACGGCATCATCGACAACGTCATCTACGACAGCGAGTTCAACGCCACCTTCACCTACCGGGGCAAGGAGAAGCTCAAGCACCGCTGGTGGGGGGGGCAGCCCGTGAGTATCGGGGAGGGGGGGGGGGCAGCCTCTGAGGGCGGGAGGGGGGGGCAGCCCGTGAGTACCATGGGAGGGGGGCAGTGTTACCGAGGGGGGGGGGCGGGAGGGGGACCAGTCCAGTCGTGAATCACCAACAGCGCTGTTTCTTCAGATGGCGAGTTGTTATGTATTGGGAAATGGCCGTTGTTTCTTATTCTTCCCTCTACTTCTTCTTCAGCCACCCGGCGAGGCTCCAATCCGGGCGCCAGCCTCCGGGCTAGGTTCCAATCCGGGCGCCAGCCGGCCGGCATTCCGCTAAATACCAGCGCCGGTGGTTGAGAACGCAATGCCTGTTTTTTTTCGCGCCCACAGATTTGGATCACGGTGGAGAAGCAAGACAAGAAGTCCAGCACCTTCTTCTGGCCAAGGTGAGAGAGAGAGGGGGGGAAGGAGCAGGGGCACATGTGTGTGTGCCTGTGCCTCGAATGATGTGCAAAAACATCACCACTGGGGAGACAAAGGCGGCCAGGCATGGTGCTGGCCACCCACCCCGGCCTTCATAGGTGCTACTCGCTAACAGGACTTGCCCCAACAGTGTGTTAAGGCAGCACGGGGGATCTTTGTCTTTGTGTGTGTGTGGCGGAAGTGTAGCGGTTTGCACTGCGCTACGAACCCGGCGACCTGAGTTTGGTTCCCACTCACGCCCAACACCGGTGACGATTATTTGAACCGGTCCTGGGCCTCCCCTAGATCGACTCAGCTTCAAATGAGTACCTGGTACAGTGTGTAAACATCGCCACTAGGGAGACAAAGGCGGTCGGGCATGGTGTTGGCCACCCACCCCCTCGTGTGCACAGTGCCGGGCTTCAGAGGTGCTCGCTAACAGCACTTGCCCCCCGCAGTCTGCTACAGGCTACACGGGCAGATCTTTGTCTTTGGTGCCCCAAAAAGGGGCCTATCCATTTTTCATACTACGGTACTGAAAAAAAGTGTCCCACGATGTAGCTGCTCACCCCGGGCTGTAAATGCTCCGATACGTGTGGCATTGTCTTTGTGCTGTTCGCCTTTTGTTGTTCTCTGGCTTGACACTGGTGGTAGTGGGACTAGGCCCTGAAAAAGGCTGCTGTCTCTGGTGTAGGCCAATCAGTTTCAAAGACAATACCATCTGTTATTATCAGAGCCATGTTTGTTTGCATGTTTACCACAAGCACCGTGTGTGGTTAATGCGGCACTTGATGCCTTGCGAGAGGTATAATCGATTTGGCGTTTGAACATCTCAACTCCTGTTTTATTGCCAGGAAAAAGTGGCAAAATCTCTTCTTACTTTGCATCATCTCAGTTCACCGCATCACATCGTTCAACCTTTCTTGCAAGGCCACCACCTAGGGGCTCCCACTACCCTGATGAGATGTTAACTACCTCGCCTGCTATGCAGGATTGTCGTGGGGTTCGAACCCTGACCCTTGACGACGTCTGCTGCTGTATACTTGGAGTTTGCAGTTCTCTGTCTCCCCGTAGTCGCGTGGATTTTTCCCCGGTTTTTGTTCCCCCGCCACATTTGGACTCGACTGTTGCTATAAATGTCTACGTGATGATGATGATGATGGTGGTAAGCCAACTTTCCTTGTGCCTATCGTTTGTGATGGGCCAGGTCGCTTCTGGAAAAATATATTTTACCAGTTTGGTTGAATTTCCCAGCCGCACGCACTATGGAGAAGGGGAGCAGGAGGGGAGGATGGTTTGCGCTGAGGTTTGTTTCTCTCTCCGATCTCTAGCGGCATCAACCACGACCTGCGCCTGTTCACGATACTGCGCTGGCTGGACCTTCCCCCAGCCGAACGGTGAGCTCTTTGGCAAAAACCCTCGCGTGGTAATCCAGCGCCACTATTCACATCATCGTGTTCGCTGCTATGGGTTTAGCATTATTATTTTGTATTTTCCTTAACACACTTTGACGACCCCCTCCCCCCGCAACGAAACTCAACAAGCAGAGGCCAGCGTTAACAGTTGCCTGTGAGGTGACAGTTTGTAGTGAACACTATAAACTCTGTCTTTTTCGTGCCCTGTTCTTGTCCCTATTAGACCAAAACAAAACCCACGGTGCTGACTTGCACCTGTGCCTCACACCTTATCCCCCTGCCCCCCCCCCCCCCCGATGTGCCGCGTGTCTACGTCCCTGTGAACACAAACCACGGCACTGACTTGCACCTGTGCCTCACACCTTATCCCCCTGCCCCCCCCCCCGATGTGCCGCGTGTCTACGTCCCTGTGAACACAAACCACGGCACTGACTTGCACCTGTGCCTCACACCTTATCCCCCTGCCCCTCCCCCCGATGTGCCGCGTGTCTACGTCCCTGTGAACACAAACCACGGCACTGACTTGCACCTGTGCCTCACACCTTATCCCCCTGCCCCCCCCCCCGATGTGCCGCGTGTCTACGTCCCTGTGAACACAAACCACGGCACTGACTTGCACCTGTGCCTCACACCTTATCCCCCTGCCCCCCCCCCCCCCGATGTGCCGCGTGTCTACGTCCCTGTGAACACAAACCACGGCACTGACTTGCACCTGTGCCTCACACCTTATCCCCCTGCCCCCCCCCCCCCCCTCCGATGTGCCACATGTCTGCGTCCCTGTGAACACAAACCACGGCACTGACTTGCACCTGTGCCTCACACCTTATCCCCCTGCCCCCCCCGATGTGCCGCGTGTCTGCGTCCCTGTGAACACAAACCACGGCACTGACTTGCACCTGTGCCTCACACCTTATCCCCCCCCCCCCCCCGATGTGCCACGTGTCTGCGTCCCTGTGAACACAAACCACGGCACTGACTTGCACCTGTGCCTCACACCTTATCCCCCTGCCCCCCCCCCCGATGTGCCGCGTGTCTACGTCCCTGTGAACACAAACCACGGCACTGACTTGCACCTGTGCCTCACACCTTATCCCCCTGCCCCCCCCCCCCCCCGATGTGCCACGTGTCTGCGTCCCTGTGAACACAAACCACGGCACTGACTTGCACCTGTGCCTCACACCTTATCCCCCTGCCCCCCCCCCCCCCCGATGTGCCGCGTGTCTGCGTCCCTGTGAACACAAACCACGGCACTGACTTGCACCTGTGCCTCACACCTTATCCCCCTGCCCCCCCCCCCCCGATGTGCCGCGTGTCTGCGTCCCTGTGAACACAAACCACGGCACTGACTTGCACCTGTGCCTTTTACTTTATTTTCTGGGCCCCCTCGATGCGTTGCATAACGCTGCCCACACACATACCCCCCCAACCCCCCACCCCCTTTGCCCCCCCCCCCCCGCCTCTCTCGCCCCGCAGGCCCATCGTGTACGGTCTGTACGTGGAGCAACCGGACCTCAATGGTCACCTCTACGGGCCCAACAGTTTCAAGGTTCGTGAACTTTTAATTATTAATCCCTTCAAAGGGGCTCTCCCCCGTCCCCCCCAATCCCCCACCCCGGTCCCCGCTGTTTGCCTGCCCATGTGGCGCTATCTACGCGACCCGCGCTATCTCGCACGTGCCTGCGCTTGCCTCCCTCTCGCCCTCGCCTCCCTCTCTTGCGCCAGTGGAGATGAAACGGACGACGCGTTTGTTGTGCCGGCGTGGGGGTCGGAGGGGTGGAGGTCAGCGTGTGGTTACAATCCGGCGGTCGCACGAAAGTTCGCGTGGGGGGTGGTGGCGGTGGCGGGCGGGGGGGGGGGGCGGCGGTGTGGGTCCGATGGCAACGAGAGACGCTCAGGGACAAGCGCCGAGTTTCACCGGAGTTCACGGCATGCTCTCGGCAAGGACGCTCGCATGGGGGGGGGGGGGGGATTACAGGAAAGGGATGCGCACACATGCACACACGTGCACACGTACACACGCGCACACGCACACACGTGCACATAGACAAAGATGTCCCGTATGGATTTTAACAGACTGTTGGGGCAGGTGCTGACGTTCGCGAGCAGCACTTGTGAAGGGCGGCAAGGCTATACGGAGCATCTTTGTCTTTGTGTGCGTGCGTGTGCACGGTAGGTGAAGAACATCCTCGTGTACGTGGACGAGCTGGTGGGGAAGCTGATGGACGGCCTGAAGCAGAGGAACCTGCACAAGTGTGTGGACATCATGTTCGTATCGGACCACGGTAACGCACCGCAGCCTCCTCCCCTCCCTCCTCCCCTCCCTCCTCCTTACCCCCCTCCTCCCTCCTCATCCCCCCCCCTCCTCCCCCTTCCCTCCTCCTCCCTCCTCCTCCTCCCCTTCCTCCCCCCTCCCCCTTCCTCCCTCCTGCTCTCTCCTCCACCTCCTCCTCCCCCCTCCTCCTTCCCTCCTTCTTCCCCTCCTCCTCCCTCCTCTCCACATTTAGAATCGACATCACGTGTGTCTAGAGTATTTGGCTGTTCCTATACATTTCCGCACGACGACGATGATGAAGATGATGATAAGCCACTTCGTTGAGCTATCGTTTGTGATGGCCAAGGTCGCTTCTGAAAAAGAGCTGTGTAGCTCAGTGGAGCCTTACCTGGTAAAATAAAAATAAACATTCTAATCGTTTTAGTTTCAATAAACGTCCCCGAGTGTCGCTTTGAGTCTAAATCTTCGGACAGCAGTTGCCCGGCTTACACGCGGTCTGACGAGAAGCGGACCGTACGGCGTTCCGCGGCACAAACGGAGCCCTCGTTGTGAAGGCCAGGGTCGCTTCTGGTAAAAATAGCTCCATGATAGCTTCAGTGGGGCCTTCCCTGCTCACCTCGTTTCCGCTCCTCACTCAACACTCACTTCTTGTTCCCTAGCACACCCCACGACCACCTTAATCTCCCCTGACACCTGCTGTAAATTGGGAGTTTGCGTGTCTCTGACTCTCTCCCGTGGTCGCGTGGATTTTTACTCTGGGTCCTCTGGTTTGAAAAACGTACTTTAAAAAGATAAAAGACATGTTAGCAAAAATTTGCTTAGATAGTTTTTTTTCTCTGGAGTTTGGAATTAACCTTGGAGGTTGCGGTGTCGCCGCGTGTGGGCGCAGGCATGGCCGACGTGAGCCGCAGCCGTGTGGAGTTCCTCAGCTCCTACCTCACCAACATCGACAACTTTGAGCTCATCCACGGCTCGTCGGCACGCATCCACCCCAACGCCGCCGCCGCCGGCCACCAACCGTGTGAGCAACGCACCCATTGCCAACTCGCCCACACACACAACAACAACCACCGTCATTCGCCACTTAAGTGGCGGTGATGTCACCACGGCGCTTGTGCCAGGCTATGTGCACATTAAGGCACATACACAAAGACAAAGATTCCTCGCGCGCGCTGATGCACGGACAGACGGATGAAGATCTCCCCCCCATGTTAGCCTCGACAGGACGTTGAATGTTTGGTGTTTTTATTGATGAAACCCTACCTAAGTGCTTCTTAGCTCACTTCATAATCAACTGAACTGAACCGAACTCTTTTGTGGGCAAGTGCTGTGGGCGAGCACCGACACGGCCCGCCTATGACGGGGGGTGGTGGATTGGCCAGCGCCACTTGAGGCCGAGTCGACCTAGGGGAGGCCCGGGACTGGTTAAGACAATGGCCACTGGCGTTGGTGGCCGTGAGTGGGAATCGAACTCAGGCCGCCGGGATCATAGCGCAGCGAGGAACAGCGCTCAGCGGAGTTAAAGCTGCAAGTCTGGTGCACCCCAGCGTGCTTCACATTTGTAGGATTGTCTTAAGGAGTTGTATCAGAAGATCCCCTCTGCCTTCCGGCACCGGTGTAGAGTCAGCATGCATCGCTTATATCAGAACCGTGCTTTTACGCAGGGCAGCCTGCGCAGAAGCTCCTGGAGGCCAAGTGGGCGAGGGGGAGCTGGGCCCCCTCATTCTTTAGCGACACAAACCCAGGCCCCCCTTGTCAGGTGCTCTGTTGTGAGGCCCACTCTGGGTCGGCCCTGTGCTTGTACTGTCCTTGTACTGTACTTTGTACAGTGCTTTACGTTGCTTGTACAGTGCTTGTACTGTGCTTGTACAGTACTTTCACTGTCGCCGTGGCGCCGCGTTCGCTGCCAGAGGCTCGCGGTTTCGAACAGCGACGGCGCGGGTTAACCAAACAATGTTCTCCGCCTAAGTCCTTCGCGAGAGCAGGCGATTGCGCAAAGATTCGAGAAATCACTCGGTAACGCACTCAGCAGCTATCGTCGCCCCCCCTGCTCTGCTATGGTTTTCCTCCGGGTTCTCCAGATTTTCCTGCCATAGCTAAACAAAGACAAAGATCGCGTTTATAGCCTGAACAGACTGTTAGGGCAAGTGCTGTTAGCGAGCATCTATGAAGGCCAGCACGTCACACGAGGGGGTGGGTTGCCAGCACCACGCCCGGCTGCCATTGTCTCCCACCCCCTCATGCGTCACAGTGCCGACCTTAACAGGTGCTACTACTCGCTAACAGCACTTGCCTCAACAGTCTGTTACAGTTTAACACGTAGGCTTTCGCGACCAATATTATTCATAATATAGGTTTTTGGGTCAGATCACGTTATTTATAAATGTGTCGTAACCCTCCACCACCCGACACGGCCAAACAGTAAAAAATGTGTCACGTTTTTCAAAGGACAAAATAATTCACTTCTTTAGCCCGCCGGTGTGTTGAAGAGAGAATCAACAGCATTTTAAAATTTGAGTAGTACGACGTTTCGCTGGTAATTACAATCAGCTTCATTCTTACTGTTTGGCCGTGTCGGGTGGTGGAGGGTTACGACACATTTATAAATAACGCGATCTGACCCAAAAACCTATATTATGAGTCTGTTACAGGCTATACGGGGGATCTTTGTCTTTGTATAATAAAACAATTCTAAGAATCGGCTCTCCCCTTTCTGGCAAGAAAAACGGAAGGTGTTAAGATGTTCAGACACTAAATAGACAACACCTATTGCAAGGCATCATCACGCCTGCATGAACCCCACTTGTGGCAAAAGCACGTGTAACCGGCTCGCCCTATTCCTCTCCTCCCGTGATCGTAATAAAGACAACGATAGACGAGGTCCGAGGCAACGAGGGAATATTCGTGCGTTGTGTTCTGCCCTCCTCTTGAGGGTCGAGTAACTTCACCACCAGAGCGTTGTGGAACGGCAACTCTTTATTTCAAAGGATTCTTCTGAGGAACATTCGTTATGACCAGATGCACACCAATCGACCCCACGTTACACAGCACCTCATTGCTTAATACAGGTAGGAACAACAGTGTCACACTGCCCACCAGGGATTAATTGTCTGTCTGTCGTGCATAGCCACGCCCTTGATTTGTATTTCATAGAGCGCTTCGCGCGGGCTCAGCACCACGTGACGCGCCGCCCCACGCAGCTTGCGCCGCGTGACACGGATCGCGCGAATGCGCTGTCCAACCAAGTTCCTACCTGCCCACTCCGAAGGAACGTGTTCCCTGTACACTGTACAGCTTTCATCCGAATCTGAATAGATGCCCTGAACCCTGAATTGATTACTCCACTGGTGGACGTGGCCTACTGTACAGTCACGTGAGTCTATGGGTCCAATCCATGGTCATCATTAACTCCACAGTTAAACGTGACATTAGGGCCATACCGGCTATACATGCAAACACACATCCTCTGATAATAATAATACATGCATTGTTTTTGCAAACACCAGAAACAGCAGCCTTCTGCATGGCCTTGTCTCATCGCCGGTGTTCGACCAGAGAACGACGCCAAAAGGCGGACAGCACAAGGGGAATGAAAGTATCAGAACACTTATAGCTGAGGTCGAAAATGATAATAATAATAATAGGTTTCACCTTTGATGACAATAAAACAGGTGTTAAGATGTTCAAACACCAAATAGATTATACCTTTGCAAGGCATCAAGGCTGCATTGATCACACGTGCGGGAAAACATGCAGACAATTGTGCTCTGATAATGTATGGCATTGCCTTTGAAACTGATTGGCCTACACCAGAGACGGCAGCCTTCTTTATGACCTCGTCTCACCATCGGTGTTGGACCAGAGAACATTGACAGAAAGCCGGACAGCACAAGGGTAATGCAAGTATCAGAGCATTGGTAGCTCCGGTGGTTGTGTGTCTTTGACGTCATCGTCATCGCCGCCGATGCCGTATGCTGAGTACAGTAGCCCAGGTGTTGTGCAGGGGCACCTGCCGCTATGTTCACACCGTGTGTTGTTCATTTCTCCCCTCTGTGTCTCTCTAGTCGACCAAAAGGCTGTCATGGCGAACTTAACCGTAAGTTTGCTTTTCTTCTCCGTCTCGTGCCGCGGCTAGGAGATGTTAACGACCTCGCCTGGTATGCAGCAGGGTTCGTGGGTTCGATCTCAACCCTGGAGTTGGTGTCTCTCTCTCCCTGTGGTGGCGTGGATTTTTCTCCGGGTCCTACGTTTGTGCCCTAGGCGTTTAGAATCAACATCATGCGTCTGCTATAAATCTTCACGTGATGATGATAAGCCACTTTGTTGAGCTATCATTTGTGATAACCAGGTCGCTTCGGAAAAACAGTTATAAAGCTCAGTGGGCCTTATCTGGTAAAATAAAAAGTGTAGTTTTTAGGTGCACCTCCGATTAGCACGGTTAGCTATGTACGGTGCGATAAAAGTTTAACATGCGTACATACATACATAAGTACACACGCACACACATACATGCGCACACACGCGCACACATCACCAAATGCGAGCACACACCCATGTAAACATCACTGCAAAGGCAAAATTAATCTGTACAAACTGTTGGGGCAGTGATGTTAGCGAGCAGCACCTTTGAAGGCTGGCATGGCACCACGCCCGGCTTCCTTTGTCCACCCAGTGGTGATGTTTACATACCACAACAGATACTCAATCCAGGCTGAATCGATCGAATCGCCACTGGCATCGGCCGTGAGCGGGAATCGAACCCGGGTCGCCGGGTCACCGGGTTCTTAGCGCTAACCGCTACACTACCGCTCACCACGCACACACGCACGGACCGGCGGTGCGACCGAACCGGGTGACAATGCCTCGTCCCTCTCGCTCGCCCGTCCCAGTGCCGCAGACCGGATCAGCACTTCCGGCCGTACCTCAAGCAGCACCTGCCCAAGAGGCTGCACTACGCCTTCAACCGCCGGATCGAGGACATCCACCTCTTTGTGGACGAACGCTGGCTGGTGGACAAGTAAGCGTCGCGTGCGGCGATGGGCGACTGCGAGTGGCCAGGCAATTTGGTGCCGTGGAGGCGGCGAGCGAGGGTCGGTGGATCACCGACGCGGGCGCTTCGAGGAGGAAGCCGTTAGGAGCCATCCATTTAGTACGCAGGCATAGAGGGGGGGTTAACCCAAATCCATATACTGACAATGTGCGTACGCATAGGAAACGGGGGGGGGGGGGTGAAGCCTCGATAATAATTTGTCTACATTGGCCTTCAAATGAGCCACAGTTCAGTTTCTTCAGCTGCCAGACATGTACTAGCAGGAGAAGTAGGGCTGTGGGAGAGGTGTCACTTGTATGCCACCGTGCCCCTGACTGCAGCTCTCACGCAGCTCAGCAGTGAGTCTGACATCGTCTGGCGGCCTGCCCCATGGATTACACATCCTTCAATCTGGCCTCACTGCAGACTGCTGCTGGCTCAAGGTTTTAGCTGCCGCGGTGTTCTCTGTTCGTGCTGCTGCTGCCCAGACTTCAGCACTAACACTCGTCTGTACATCGGGCTACAGCTACAGCTGACGTTCAGTCGACGCGCTTTATATAGAGACGAGTTCACCGAGTTTTAATTGTGTTTTAAGATTATAATAGACGTGTTTTTGAGTAACCAGTCAAGATGGATAACACGGCCAAGTATGACTGTTTGTACAAAGCTGCGTGTAAAGCTAAGCCGATATTTAATCTGCGTGGATTAAATAATGGCCGTTTTATAGGATTCGGGGGGGGGGGGGGTGCATCAAGCGTACGTACGCAGGTGGGGGGGGGGGGGGGTAAAAAGTCCACGTGCGTACAGGGAGGGGGGGAGGGGTCAAGTTTTGACAGATTTTTGCGTACGTACTCAATGGATAGCCCTGCCAGGAGAATGCCATCTGTATGGGATCGAGTGTTTCCCCCTCGCACGCGTGTGTGGGGTATGGGTTTTCTCCGGGTGCTCCGGCCTCCTCCCACGTGTCATATAGTGAACACCTGTCATCACTTGGTCCATCCCACCTTCATACGCAGAGCTTGGGGGCAATTGTTGGTAGCCCCGGCTCCTCACCGTGTGGCTGCTGCTGCTGCTGCTGCCGCTTTCCCGACTCCTCAGCTGTGGTTCTTCCTACTCGCGCCTCTGAGTCGTCCCCTCTCTCTCCCCGTGGTCGCGTGGATTTTTTCTCCGGGTCCTCCGATTTTTCCCTCCACATTTAGATTCAACGTCGCGCGTTTAAGAGTATTTGGCTGCTGCTATAACTTTCCACACGATGATGATGATGATGACGATAAGCCCCCTTCGTTGGAGCAATCAGGTGACTTCTGTAAAGAGAGTTATGTAGCTCAGTGGGGGCCTTACCTAGTACAATAAAACAAATGTTGAATAGTTGTTTAAATCGCCAAGCAACGCTTTTGCTGAACCAGTTACGACTTCATTGATCCTCATCAGCACGGCTGTGGCCTGTTGGAGGAATGCCGCCACGCAGGCCCACGGGGGTCGTGCGTGAGATCTGACCTCAGTCTCCGTTGGAGGGGGGAGGCACATCCACACAGCTGTTCATTGCGCTCGGCTGTTCATTCCGGTTTTTTGTGTTTGTCCGCTCGTGACCTGCGGGACGTCTGCACGGAGCTGTAACGGTCCGCCCTGCGTGCGCGTCGTTGCTTTTAGGAAGGAGAGCGGCGACAAGGATTACTTCTCTGGGGAGCACGGCTACGACAACCGTTACGAGAGCATGCAGGCCAGTGGCACGCCGCACGGGCACAGTGGCACGCGGCACGGGGGCAGTGCCACGCCGCACGGGGGCAGTTCCCACTTGGAGCAGCGATAGAACTGAATGATTGTAGCCAACGATGATGATGATAACGATGACGTTGATGATGCCGATGACGTTAATGATGCCGACGATGATGACAATGATGATGACGATGATGATGATCATGCCGATGCTGATGATGACGCCGATGATGATTATGACGATGGCGGTGTTTGCTTTGTAGGCAGTCTTCATTGGATACGGTCCCAGCTTCAAATACAAGACGGAGGTGGACCCAGTGGAAAACATCGAGCTCTACAACCTCATGTGTGGTGAGCGCGTGACTCCTCCCCCTCCTCCTCACTCCTCCTCCCTCCTCTCTCCTACCTCGTTCTACCTCCTCCTCCCTCCTGCTCTCTCCCCCCCCCTCCTCCCTCCTCCCTCCTCCCTCCTCCCTCCTCCCTCCTCCCCCCTCCTCCTCCTCACTCCTACCTCCCCCCTCCTCCTACATCCTCCCCCCTCCTCCCCCTCCTCCTCACTCCTCCTCCTCACTCCTCCTCCCCCCTCCTCCCTCCTCCCTCCTCCCCCCTCCTCCCTCCTCCTCCTCACTCCTTCTCCCTCCTCCCTCCTCCTCCCGGCACATGGCTCCGTCGTGCCGATGCTGACTACGGCAACTCTCCGAGGGTCAAAGCGAGCGGCTTGCAAGAAAAAGGTCACGAGGTCACATCCTGCTTGGGGTGGGAGCCGTTAATGCAGCCCATCATCATTTCCTCCCTGCGGCGAATGGGGAGATAAAATAGGGTACCACTTTGTGAAGGAGTAAACAGCGGTTCGCCCCTGCCAAAGGAATGTGGAATTTCCACCACTGGCTCTGCAGGGCTATATTGACAGGGCATAACCACCAGTGTTTCAGTTTGCTCATGTGTGTGTGTCAGGGTGTGTGTGTGTGTGTGTCAGGGTGTGTGTCAGGGTGTGTGTCAGGGTGTGTGTGTGTGCCAGGGTGTGTGTCAGGGTGTGTGTCAGGGTGTGTGTGTGTCAGGGTGTGTGTGTGTCAGGGTGTGTGTATCAGGGTTTGTTCGTCTGCTACAGCAGAGGTGTAGGGAATTCCAACAAGACCTACATCTCTGCTTTATTGACCTGGTTAAGGCCTATGATACCATCAGTAGGCCTGGGCTCTGGGTTGTTCTTGTGCTTTTGGAGTCCCTGACCCTCTGCTCACGATCATTAAGGACCTTCATGATGGTGAGTGGGCCCGGGTAAAACTACGTGGCCAGGAGTCAGAGCCTTTCCCTGTACACCTTGGGGTGCGACAAGGATGTCCTCTGGCTCCCACATTATTTAACATCTATTTTGACCACGTAGTTTGTGAAGCCTTCAATAGCTGTACTGGGGAAATTTCCATTTGGTACAGATATAATGGGAGGCTGATCAATGCCCGGGTGCGATCAAGGGATGGCTCCCTATTGGTCAACCACATTATGTATGCCGATGATTTGGTAATAGCTGCTCATTCAGAGGAGGAGTTGGAGACGCTGCTGTTGAGACTGGAGTGTGCCACTAAGAGGTGGGGCCTTACCATCAGCCCCACCAAAACTAAGCACCTGCCTGGGTATTTTGTACCATCGGACACTCCACCCCCACAACTCCCAATCGGTGATAGGGCAGTAGTGGAGTGAGTGGAGAGTTTCCCATACCTGGGCAGTGTGCTTATGACTGGCTCCAGTTTAACAGCAGAGGTCTCACTCCGAATCAGTCGAGCGGCAATATCTTTTCATCGGTTGCATAACGCTGTGTGGAAGCTACCTGGTCTGTCGCTCCGCACGAAGCTTCAGGTCTTCTCGGCCACAGTCATTCCCTCCCTTCTCTACGCTTGCGAAACGTGGACCCCCCTAATGGAGCATCTTCGCCGGTTGGAAACATTTAGGCTGCCCTGCCTACGATCTATCCTGGGTTTAACCAGGCTGGATTGTGTGAGGAGCTCACAAATCCTTGAAAGATCTGGGCAAAGTCCCATCAGTGAGCTCCTCCGGCAGGCAAGGCTGCGTTGGCTGGGTCATGTAGCCCGCATGCCTAGCCACCGCATGCCTAAACAGCTTTTGTTCGGCCGGATCGAGGGGGCTAAACGGGCGCGGCATGGGCTAGAGAAGAGATGGAGTGATGTGGTACAGGAGGACGTGGAGCTGAGTGGACTTGCCGATGATTGGTACCAGTGGTGTCAAGATCGGCCTCTGTGGGGGAGGCTCGTGAAGGACGCTACTGGGCAGTTGGAGGCAGTCACCCTCCAGCAACAACGGAGGGCGGAGGAGCGACGCTCACAACAACGAGCGGAGCACCGGGTGGCTAAAGCACAGCAAGTTGGCACAGTAGGGGGCACAGTTGGTGCATTAGCCAGTCATCTCGGTCATCTTAGTCAGTCGACCCGTGGCACCTGGGTCTGCCCCGTGACCTCCTGTGAGCGGGCGTTCAACACTTCACGTGGCCTCAAGGTGCACATGGCCTGGCACAAGCGTCGTGGTGACGTCACCGCCACTTAGTGGCGAATGGCGGTTGTTGTTGTTGTCAGGGTGTGTGTGGGTCAGGGTGCGTATTGTGGGGAGTGGTAGTGTAGTGGTTAGCGTGCTGGACTTTTAACCTGGCGGCCCGAGTTCAATTCCTGCTCACAGTCAACACCAGTGATGGTTATCTGAATCGTTCCTGGGCCTCCCCTAGGTCGACTCAGCCTTAAATGAGTACCTGGTGCGGTATGTAAACATCGCGACTGGGGAGACAAAGGTGGCCGGGCGTGGTGCTGGCCACCCACCCCCTCGTGTGCCATTCCGGCCTTCTTCGGTACTGCCCGCTAACAGCACTTGCCCCGACAGTCCGTTTGCAGTGATGTTTGCGCTAACGGTGCGCTCGGTGTTATGCCTCGCGTAGACCTCTTGGGAGTGATGCCCATGCCGAACAACGGCACGCACGGCAGCCTGAACCACCTCCTGCGGAGGCCGGTGCACCGGCCGGCGCTGCCCGAAGAGGTCTCCAAGCCGGCCTCGTGCCCGGCCACCGTCGCGGCCGACGAGGACCCGCAGTGCGAATGCGACCCCGGGGTACCGGCGGCACGGAGCTCACTCACCCCCCCGCTCACCCCCCCACTCACCCACCCCCCCCCACTCAACACCCCGCTGACCCCCCCGCTCACCCCCCTGTTCATCCCCCCCCGACTCAACGCCATGCTCACCCCCCCCCACTCACCCCCCCCACTCAACGCCCTGCTCACCCCCCCCACTCAACGCCGCGCTCACCCCCCCCCCACTCACCCACCCCCCCCACTCAACGCCCCGCTCACCCCCCCCCCCCACTCAACGCTCCGCTCACCCCTCCCCCCACTCACGCCAACTCACCCCCATTCACTCCCCGCTCACCTCCCGCTCACCCTCCGCTCGCCCCCCAACTCACCCCAACTCACCTCTACTCACCCCTCGCTCACATCCGCTCCCCGCTCACCCCAACTCACCCCCCGCTCTCCCGCCCTCCCCGCTTGCCCCCCACCACTCGCTCGCCACTCACACCAACGCGGCTCAATCAGTCGTAGAAATTCCACATTCCTATGGCGAGGGCGAGTCTGCCCCATAGGACGACCGCTATTGACTTCCCGCAAAGTGGTGCCGATTGTATTGACCCCGGAGAGCAGGAAGGGATGGGCTGAGTTGACCGCCTAATCGGGATGCGAACTTGCGAGTTAAAATTAACCATTTTGTATTTTACAAGGTAAGGCCCCACTGAGCTGTGTAGATCTTTTTCAGAATGACAAATGATAGCTCAACCACGTGGCTTATCGTCATGTGGAAATCTATAGCAGCCAAATACTCTAAACGCGTGATGTCGATCCTCAATGTGGAAGGGAAAAACCGGAGGACCCGGAGAAAAATCCACGCGGCTATGGGGAAAGAGAGAGAGAGAGACACGCACAAACTACAAATATACAACAGGCGTTAGGGTCGGGATCAAACCCGTGACCTCCTGTATACCAGGCGAGGTAGTTAACATCTCCGAGCCACTGTGGCACCCAGATCTCCCGACTGCGTGCCACTCGCTCGTTCGCCGGCTACAGCGACAACGTTTAGGCCGCAATATTGATTGCATGTTAAAGTTAGTTTTCATTTCACGTGCACATTCCTCTTATTGTTGTTGTTGTCGTTAGTCTGCTCGTTCAAACCTCAGGCTAAGCCTCGCTGAGTCTCAAGTCTCATTCTCAGGAGGCTCATCATGTCGCAAGGACCAAGCGATGTTGCTGCTGCTGCTGTGAAATCACAAATGAGTAATTTGGCATGAGGATCTTTGGCCACTGCCAGTTGCTTGTTTTTGTTGTTGTTGGTTTAACACCTAGTCGTGGGTTTCCGCGACCAATATTATCCATAATAGAGGTCTTTTTTTGGGTTAGATCGCGTAAATATAAATGTGTCATTGAACCCGCCACCACGACTACCCGACACAGCCGATCAGTCAAGGGTTTGTCACGAAAACAAAACTGTGCCCAATTCGTTACCAGATCATCACGCAACCGGTTGTGTGTTGCAGAGTAAACTCACTACAACGTTTATAATTCGAGTAGCATGACGTTTACGCCGGTAAATACAACAACCAGCTTCGCCAGGCGACTGATTGCCACGTTTTGTTTCCGTTACCAACCTTACTCATTGGCTGTGTGACGTGGTGGTGGCGGGTTTAACGACACATTCACGTTCACGCGATCTAACCCCGACAAAACCTTTATCATGGATGTTTTTGTTCTTGTTGATTAGCAGACTACACGCAGAGAGGCGCCAGAGTCGGGAATCGAACCCCAGTAATTTTTGTTGACGTGAGGTGCGAGTGTTACCACGGCAGGTAGCACCAGGTGGCACTCGTGTGTGTGCTGTATGTTGAACTTCTTTCGCACCGTACGTAGCCAACCAGCGCTAATCGGAGGTGTGGGGGAAATGGCAACAAACGAAACACAGCAACAACAACAACAACAACATGCAGTTCTAAAGAAATTACTTCGTCAATCTAGATGATGATTTTAAAGTTGCGTTGCTCGCAGCGGCTTCATAATATCGTAAGGGAAGAGCGTTCCAGACGGCCGCGGGAGCGCGTCTGAAAATGCGCGTAGCAGCCCCGACAACAACGACGCAGGAGGCCGTCGTACGGGGGGAGAGGCCGTCGCTAACGCCGCCAGCGCCACCAGCGCCGCTGACGCGCTCCTCTCTGCTTCTTTGTTGCAGTCGTACCCGGCCGATTCGCTCAACCGCCAGCTGCTCAACTCCGTCCCGCAAGGTGCGTTGAGCCCCCTGCCTTGCGCCCGACCTCGCCGTTGAAAGCGTGCCGATGAGCGAGCTGCGTCCGTCTGTCCCCGTGCGCCTGCGTCTGTGTGTCTGTGCGTGTGTGTCTGTGCGTGTGTGTCTGTGTGTGTGTTTGTGTGTGTCTGTGCGTCTGTGTGTCTGTGTGTCTGTGCGTCTGTGTGTCTGTGCGTGTGTGTCTGTGTGTGTGTTTGTGTGTGTCTGTGCGTCTGTGTGTCTGTGTGTCTGTGCGTCTGTGTGTCTGTGCGTCTGTGTGTCTGTGCGTGTGTGTCTGTGCGTGTGTGTCTGTGTGTCTGTGTGTCTGTGTGTTTGTGCGTCTGTGTGTCTGTGCGTGTGTGTCTGTGTGTGTGTGCGTCTGTGTGTCTGTGTGTCTGTGTGTCTGTGTGTCTGTGCGTCTGTGTGTCTGTGCGTCTGTGTGTCTGTGCGTCTGTGTGTCTGTGTGTCTGTGCGTCTGTGTGTCTGTGTGTCTGTGCGTCTGTATGTCTGTGCGTCTGCCGTGCCGATCTTCATAGGTGCTCCTAACAGCACTTGCCCCAACAGCCTGTTACAGGCTATATGGGGCGGGGGATCTTTGTCTTTGTGTGGAATGGCGGGGTGGCGATGATGACGCTCGTAGAGTTGTGATCCGTTGATTCGATGTGAAGGGAACTTTGAAGAAGGTCTAGAAGTTGGGGGTAAAGAACCCCCGGATGCAGTGGCTCCATGGGTTATCCTGGCAGCATTTAGAATGAATAAAAAAAAAATCTCAGCGGTAAGAAGATTCACAAACACAAACACCCAGCGCTGAATTAGGCATCGTCACGCATGGCGAAGTTGTCACGCCTAACGATTACTCAATCTACGCTAAACTCATTTTTAAGACCCCACTGAGTTCTTTCTCAGAAGCAACATGGACCATCACAAATGATAGCCCGACCAAGTGGCTCATCATCATCATCGCGTGGAGGTTTATTGCAGTCAAAGACTCTAAATCGCGTAATTATTTATTCTAAATGTGGAGGGCAAAACCGGAGGAACCCGGAGAAAAATCCACCCAGCCACGGGGAGAGAGACACGCAAACTCAAAATACACAGCAGCAGGCGGCAAGGTCGGGATCGAACCCATGATCTCCTGTACACCAGGCGAGGTAGTTAACATCTCCTAGCCACCGCAATGCACGCGAAATACGAGACGGTGGGCATTTTATTACGTATTTATTTTTTAAATAGGAAGCATTTTTTGGTCACGAAAGAACGCCAGAATACGGTGCACGTGAATAAAAAAAAAGCGGGAGGGAAAACGACAACGGATAACGCGGAACAAGCTCGGAGCAACACAACCAACGCAGGGATTCATAAACGACGTCACGAAGAGGTCACCTGAAGAGCCACAATGCACCGTGCTGATGACGAGACGGTGACACGTGATGAATGACGTCACGAAGAGGTCGCTTGTGGAGCCACGATGCACCGTGATGATGACGAGACGGTGACACGTGATGAATGACGTCACGAAGAGGTCACTTGTGGAACCACGTGGTCTCCAACCCAGTGGTTCTTAACCTTCACTGCAGCCTTGCACCCATTTGATTCTCAATTGCAAAACAATGTACAATGTTAATAGACACGCAGGGTTTGATGAGAGAAAGTAAGTTGTAACTTGACCTGCCCCGTGCTTGATTTGTATTTTCGATTATTTACCTTCTAAAAACGAACTTGGCCCCGTCTCACACCCCCAGAAAGGGCATCTGCGTGATGCCCCCCAGGTTAAGAAGAAGAGCCACCGGCTTAGCCCTGTGCCCTGACAGCCTCTCTGCAACATGAACTCGCCCACTGTGCCCGGACACACATGGGGCTCGAGACGTCAGAGCTGCAAATCCACATCATCATCTCTCGTGATAGCAGTGATGGCGGTTTCAACGCGTTGCCATTGTCCTCGAGTCCGATTGTCTCATCGCCATTAACAGAGCTTGCGCCACCTTGCAGACTGTTGCTTTACCCAAGATGACGATGATGATGGTGGTGGCGGTGGTATGGTGGTGGTATGGTGGTGGTGGTGGTATGGTGGTGGTATGGTGGTGGTATGGTGGTGGTATGGTGGTGGTATAGTGGTGGTGCTATGTTGCTCTTCGTGTGGCTGACGTTGATGTCGAGCATTGGGATTTTACACCGAGGTGGTCGATGAGCGTGATGATTGCGTCAGGAGGTGTAGCCGAGTGGGGAATCATTGCCGCTGTGACGATGACGCCTTCCTATGGATCTCACTGTGAGTCTGTGGGTCTCTGTGTGAGTCTGTGGGTCTCTGTGTGAGTCTGTGGGTCTCTGTGTGAGTCTGTGGGTCTCTGTGTGAGTCTGTGGGTCTCTATGTGAGTCTGTGGGTCTCTGTGTGAGTCTATGGGACTCACCGTGAGTCTATGGGTCTCACTGTGAGTCTATGGAGTGTATAGCTGTTGTGGTGATGATGATGCCTCCTCGTTCGTCAATCGGGCATCGAGCCGTCATTCTACGTCCCGTGGTTCTGTTCTGGGTTATGACCACAGTCTCCGCACACTGTCCGGAGAAATCTTTCATTTCCCATTTGTGCATCATCAGCGTCACCGAGTATCATGAGCTGCTGCGGCTGCTCTGGTTTGTGTGCGGATGCAGCTCAGGGTTTGGGGCCCATGAAGCTTGTGATGATGGCGATGATGATGATGACAGCGATGATGATGACAGCGATGTCGATTATATCTGTTTGCAGATAATCACCACTTACCATTCGGCCGGCCCAGGGTGCTGCTGGACACACGCTACTGCCTGCTGCACCACACGGGCTTTGAGAGCGCCTACAGCGAGGATTACCGCATGCCCCTGTGGACCTCCTTCACACTGCCCAAAAGCGTGAGCCCTGCCCTCCGCCTGCCCTCCCCCTGCCCTCCCCCTGCCCTCCCCCTGCCCTCCCCTGCGGCCGCTCGTCCCCTCGGTTCACCGCTTGTCGCGTCGCGGGTCGCGTGGCGTGGCCGAGCCGTTCCGGGGGGTCGGTTGGACCGCTCGTGGCCGGGTGACGTCGCGAGGCAGAGCGCTGACCGCTCGTCGCGGTCGGTTCGAATTTGGGTGGCCGCCCCGGTTAACGCTGCGGGTGCGGTGACGCCGCTTCCTTGCTGCCTCCTGGCGGGCGCTAGCGATGCCGTGAGTGGCGCCATTCAGAGGGAGAGTGGCAGGGGGCCGTCACGCACCGCCAGCGGCTGCGACGCAGTTCGGCGAATATTGGCAAATTTGAAAACTGACACGCGGGCAATTTATTAAATATATATTTTTTAATTAAACGTCATGCTGGCTTGCCTGCCTCATGCTGGCTTGCCTTGCTGGGGATAAACCTGGCAGGACCCCCCCCCCCCCTCGAACAAAGAGGAGAATCGAGACTCTTTGGTGAGGCTTCAATGGGTAAACGAGTGGATTGAAATCAAAGAGTAATCATTTCGCTGCAGATAGTGGCACAATGAACTCAATAATTAACCCCCCTCTCCGCCGCCGTAATCCTCGCGCCCATCTAAACGAGTTGACCGGACAATGGAGTTTGTGTTGGGTTTTCAATTTTAGCTTCTCTTGGCCTTCCACGAAAACGTGCTTCTGCAATGAGCACCATCCCTCTTCAATAGCTAGTAACTGATTGATTGCACATTGTGTGTTTGTTTGGCAAACCTCGTTAATAATTTACCTGGGCAAGGGACCACGTCTACTAGAGAGGGCCCCTTGTGCTATGAACATCTGGGGCAGTTCACCAAGCATTGGTAGCAAGAAAAGTCTGACTCTGCTGCTGCTGCTGATGAGACACGCAATGTCGAAACCGGTCCAGAGTTTTATTTGTGTTAAACCAGTGCTGTTGATGAGATGCACTCCCACAAGGTCGTTTGGCTGATGGGATGTGTAAACAAAATACTGTATTTTTGTTTGGAGAGATAAATGATAAATAATAATAAATGATATAGTTAACTACCTCGCCTGGTATACAGGAGGTCGTGGGTTCGATCCCGACCCTGACTCCTGCTGTTATTTGGAATTTGCAGTTTCTCTCTCCCCATGGTCGCGTGGATTTGTCTCCGGGTCCTCTGGGTTTATCCCGCCACATTTAGAATCAACGTCATATTTGGCTACTGTTATGAATTTCCACATCATGATGATGATGATAAGCTATCATTTATGATGGCTAGGTCGCTTCTGAAAAAAGAGCGACATAGTTTAAAGTTGAGAGGCGCGCGAAGGAGGAACCGCAGACACCAACGATTGCCCAAGCACTGCAGTCCTCTGTATGTGAAGGCGTTAGCGAGCACCTATTATGCCTTTCCCACTTCCGAGACGTCGGCAACGTTGGCGGGTGGTGGGTGTCCCATGCACCTCTGAATCTCGGAATGCGCGAGCGGCGGTTCACAGCGTTACATTTGATTTAGAGCGGCGTGGTAGAAGCAGCGCCGTTGTTTTTAATGAACATTGTTACTCACCGCAGAGAACCGTCGCGACGCGACCGCCGCCACTCGACGATAGCCAGCAGCCAAAACTGTGCCTTGCACGGCCCCTCCCGCATGGCCTTGTGGGAGCCTCAGGAACCGATGACGTACGTTCCGATGGCGTAAACGCATGTACACGTATTCGTCATTGGAACGGAATTGGAATAAAAACCGGTGCACGTGCGTACATGTACGTACATTGTGTACGTGTGTGCGTTCCGTTTGTACATGAACGAGTATCTCACGTACACGTGTACGTGTCTATGTTCCTGTTCGTACGTGCACACGTACATCACATACACATGTACGTGTGTGTGTTCCGTTCGTACATGCATGCGTACGGACGTCACGTACACGTGTGTACGTGGGTGTGTTCCGTGCGTACATACATGCGTATGTACATCATGTACACGCGTACGTGTGTGTGTTCGTACGTGCACGCCTCGCAGATCAACATCAACGAGCCCTCGGCCGCGCTCGCCCAGTGCTTGAAGCCCGACATCCGGATCCCCGTCAGCAAAGTCACGGCCTGCAAAGCCTTCAAGTCCACGTCCGACCTCTCCTACGGCTACCTCTACCCCCCGAGTAAGGCACCGCACGCCCCCGGGCCCTCGCACAAACGAGGGCAGCCTGCCCCTGGGGCCTCACACAAAAGAGGGCAGCCTGCCCCTGGGGCCTCACACAAAAGGGGGCAGCCTGCCCCTGGGGCCCTCGCACAAAAGGGGGCAGCCTGCCCCTGGGGCCTCACACAAAAGGTGGCAGTCTGCCCCTGGGGCCTCCCACAAAAGAGGGCAGTCTGCCCCTGGGGCCTCGCACAAAAGGGGGCAGCCTGCCCCTGGGGCCTCGCACAAAAGGGGGCAGCCTGCCCCTGGGGCCTCACACAAAAGGGGGCAGCCTGCCCCTGGGGCCCTCGCACAAAAGGGGGCAGCCTGCTCCTGGGGCCTCACACAAAAGGGGGCAGCCTGCTCCTGGGGCCTCACACAAAAGGGGCCAGCCTGCCATTGGGGCCTCGCACAAAGGGGGCAGCCTGCCGTTGGGGCCTCACACAAAAGGGGGCAGCCTGCCCCTGGGGCCTCACACAAAAGGGGGCAGCCTGCTCCTGGGGCCTCACACAAAAGGGGCCAGCCTGCCATTGGGGCCTCACACAAAAGGGGGCAGCCTGCCCCTGGGGCCTCACACAAAAGGTGGCAGTCTGCCCCTGAGGCCTCACACAAAAGAGGGCAGCCTGCCCCTGGGGCCTCACACAAAAGGGGCTAAAATGGTGATGTCAACTTATACCGCTGCGCTGCCACGGCACGGTATTCACTCGCGCTTGGAGATAGAAGATGACTCAGAGGTGCGAGGGCGCCACGGTGGGGAGGTGTTTACTCCCTCGCCTGGTATACAGGAGGTCGTGGGTTCGATCCAGACCCTGACGCCTGCTGTATATTTGGAGTTTGCGGTGTCTCTCTCATCACAGTGGCTAGGAGATGCTAACTCCCTCGCCTGGTTTGCAGGATATCGTGGGTTCGATCCTGACCCTGAGGCCTGCTGCTGGTTATTTAGAGTTTGTGTGTATCTTTCCCCGTGTTCACGTGAGAACTGACACACGTCGAGAGTACTTGGCTGCTGCTATAAAATGTCCACGTGGTGATGAGGCCACTTTGTTGAGCTATAATTTGTGATAGCCAGGTCGCTTCTGAATAAGAGTTACATAGCTCAGTGGGGGCCTTACCTGGTACAATAAAAAGCAGTTTAGTAGCTTGCGAGGACAAAGCAAAGACGAGCGGGTAAAGTCAGCCAGGCGGTTAGCCGATGCCAAATTCCACCGCCTATATCTATTAAAGATGCTATCGGCTAATCAATGAGTACACACGTGTGTATGTATGATGAACTTCTTTAACGCCATACGTAGCCAACCGTGCTCCCGAACAAAACCCACCCAGCGTACGAGAGGGAAACGCTCTACCCCAGGCGTTGGCAAACGCTGCGCCTCCGGAGCGGCGAGCGCTGTGGCTCTTCGGCCTCCCCCCTAGAGGCTCTTTGGCTGCGAAAAAACATTGAAATGTAATTTAGTGTAAAGAAAATTGATTACATTTTTGGCAGGGAATGATGGGGTCACGGCGGAATGCCTTGGTGGTGACGATAAAATAAACAACAGTCACAAACGGTTCTTGTTAAAGAATAACGGAAGGATCTAGATTTGAAGTTTTCGTGACTGCAGGGATCCATACTCTTGTTGGTGAGCAAAGCCACAACGTTTACAATCTGAGTACGACGTTTCGCCAGTAATTACTTCATCAGGTGGGAGCCAGATTTGTGGAGAAGTCCTCACCTATGTGTTGTTGTTGTTGTTGTCGTCGTCAATGTCTGCCGTATACCTGCCGTATCTGTGTACAAGCAGCTTCTTCTTCTCCTCCTACTTCCTCTTCATCTTCTTTGACATCTGCTGCTGTGCCGCGTCCACCTGGCGCCCATAACGACCGCGCACTAAAAGAAGTGTCCCTGGGGGATTTTTTTTAATTGACAATATTTAAAACAACAACCTCACAGAGCCATTGGTAAATGAATCCAGATCGCTAGAAAGTCAACCGATTCTCCCAACAAATATATAGCTTTTGGGAAAAGTTCAATTCGAGCAGATACTTGAGCCCAGCGTTCGTGACGTAAAGCGTTCTACAAGGCTCGGAGAATATCAATAATTCTGTACTGCCTTCTACTCGCAGAGTCAGAGTACAGCTCCTCCTTGACACTCACCCACAGGCAAAAGAGAGTGAGATGGAACAGATGGAGATTAGTCCACACACTATGCTGTACCGCCTTGTCCTGGCAGAGCCAAGGGTACAGCTCCTCCGTCTAGGAAGTTCACCATATGTGTGTTGAACTTTCACACCGTACGTAGTCAACCGTGCCAATCGGAGGTGCCGGGGAAGGACAACAAACTAAACACTAAAAGCAGCCCTAAAGAAATGAGTTTGTCGATAAAAATGATGATGATTTAAAAGTGCACTGCTCCAGTGGCTTCTTAATATCGGAAGGGAAGAGCATTCCAGACGGCTCGCAGGAGAAGCACGTCTGAAAGTGCCGTGCGGTGAAGCGGTGACCACGACCACCTTTGTTCGACGGCTCGCAGCCAAAAGCCGCTGCCGCTGCTGCTGCTGCCGCTGCCGCTGCCGCTGCTGCTGCTGCCGCTGCTGCTGCTGCCGCTGCTGCCGCTGCTGCTGCCGCTGCTGCTGCGAGGATGAGCGGATTTGTTACCGTAATGATAGTGTTTAGGGCAGAGTTGTTACCGTGGCGATGATGCTTAGTGCGGAGTTGTTACCGTGGCGACGATGTTTAAAGCGGAGTTGTTACTGTGGCGACGGTGTTTAGAGCGAAGTTGTTACCGTGGCGACGATTTTTAGAGTGGAGTTGTTACCGTGGCGATGGTGTTTAGAGTAGAGATGTTACCTTGGCAACGGTGTTTAGAGCGGAGTTGTTACCGTGGCGACGGTGTTTAGAGCGGAGTTGTTACCGTGGCAACGGTGTTTGGAGTGGAGTTGTTACCATGGCGATGGTGTTTAGAGTAGAGTTGTTACCTTGGCAACGGTGTTTAGAGCGGAGTTGTTACCGTGGCGACGGTGTTTAGAGCGGAGTTGTTACCGTGGCAACGGTGTTTGGAGTGGAGTTGTTACCGGGGCGACAATGTTTAGAGCGGAGTTGGTACCGTGGCGACGGTGTTTAGAGCAGAGTTGTTACCGTGGCGACGGTGTTTAGAGTGGAGTTGTTACCTTGACGACGGTGTTTAGAGCGGAGTTGTTACCATGACGACGCTGTTTAGAGCGGAGTTGTTACCGTGACGACGGTTTACACTCCTTGACCTGTGTGTGTCTGCGTGTGTCTGTTTGTCTGTGTGTGTGTCGGATGGGGAGCGGTAGTGTAGCGGTTAGCGCGCTGCGCTATGAACCTGGCGACCCGGGTTCGATTCCCGCTCACGGCTAACACCAGTGAGGATTATCTGAACCGGTCCTGGGCCTCCCCTAGGTCGACTCAGCCTGAAATGAGTACCTGGTGTGATGTGTAAACATCGCCACTGGGGAGACAAAGGCGGTCGGGCGTGGTGCTGGCCACCCACCCCCTCGTGTACTGCTCCGGCCTTCATAGGTGCTTGCTAACGGCACTTGCCCCTACAGTCTGTTCAGGCTATACGGGGGATCTTTATCTTTGTGTCGGACGGCAACGCTGTGATGGCTAACTTCCGTGGGGGGAGCGCCAATTTAGATTGGCCTTTCCCTTCATGGCGTTTGTAACCACCACAGTGGCCAAATGGGGGCTCTGGATGCGTGCGAGTGGCTGGTAACCCCTCCACCTTCAATTAACTACCACTAAACTACGAGGTCAAAAAATGTTTAAGCTTGTGCCGGAGGCCCCGGGGAGACACAGACACACTTCTTCTTCTTGTTCGTCCATCAAAGTTGATGATGACCATGGCACGTTTGTCATTTTGTTGGGTTTTGATGAGTGCGCAGATGGCTGAAGAGGCCAATCCGAGCCCGGAATTCTCTATGGCACACTGGACAGGTCAGGGAGGATGTAGGGCTCTGAGGTGCAGCCACACGTCCTTCCTTGGTAGATTTGCGCTGCTGCCTCTTCAAGATAGCACAGGAGCTTCTCCTACTCTCACAGAGGACTGCACCGTCCTGTACTTTTCTTCTCCAGGCAGGTCTGTCCTGTGCTAGGGATTCCCAGCTTTTCAGGTCGAATCCACAGCTCATTCAAGGAAGCTTTAAGGGACACAGACACACACAAGGTGTGTGTCTCGCTCGGTGTGTCTTTGTGTGTGTCTCTCCCTGCATGTGTGTCTGCCTATGCTGTTCCTGTGTCTGTGTTTTATCATTAATTATTACCTGATGATGGTTGCTTGTGTTGCAACCGAAACGTCGTTTTCTATTATTATTTCATTTTATTTTCTACGTGACTTTACTGAAAGAACCAAAGAGTAATTACTGCAGTCACGAAAGCTTCGAATCTAGTTTGAGCTCGCATATCCTTGAAAGATCTGGACAAAGTCCCATCAGTGAGCTCCTCCGGCAGGCAAGGCTGCGTTGGCTGGGTCATGTAGCCCGCATGCCCAGCCACCGCATGCTTAAACAGCTTTTGTTCGGCCAGATCGAGGGGGCTAAATGGGCGTGGCACGGTCTAGAGAAGCGATGGAGTGATGTGGTACAGGAGGACGTGGAGCTGAGTGGACTTGCCGATGACCGGTACCAGCGGTGTCAAGATCGGCCTCTGTGGAGGAGGCTCGTGAAGTACGCTACCGGGCAGTTGGAGGCAGTCACCCTTCAACAACAACGGAGGGCAGAGGAGCGACGCTCACAGCAACCAGCGGAGTGCCGGGTGGCTAAAGCACAGCAAGTTGGCACAGTAGGGGGCACAGGTGGCGCATCAGCCAGTCGTCTCAGTCAGTCAACCCGTGGCACCTGGGTCTGCCCCGTGACCTCCTGCCAGTGGGCGTTCGACACTTCCACGTGGCCTCAATGTGCACATAGCCTGGCACAAGCGTCGTGGTGATGTCACCGCCACTTAGTGGCGAATGGCGGTTGTTGTTGTTGTGTGTCTGTGTGTGTGTCAATTTCCCGAATCCTACCGTTGCAGGCCTCAGCCGATCGGAGTCGTCGATGCACGAGGGTCTGCTGGCATCGAACATCGTGCCCATGTACAAGCCGTTCAAACGCAAGTTCCCCACACCGGCGCCCACAGATCGTTTTTTTTCCCCCCCGAGTTGATTTTGCGAGCGACCCAGGTGAGGGCTCTTGGAAGATGGAGAGAGAGAGAGACAGAGAGAGACAGAGAGACAGAGACAGACAGAGAGAGAGAGAGACAGAGTCAGACAGAGACAGACAGACAGAAAGAGAGACAGAGACAGACAGAGAGACAGAGAGAGACAGAGAGAGACAGAGAGACAGAGACAGACAGAAAGACAGAGATAGAGAGACAGAGAGAGAGAGACAGAGAGAGACAGAGACAGACAGAAAGACAGAGAGAGAGAGAGACAGAGAGACAGAACGAGAGACAGAGATAGACAGAGACAGACAGAAAGACAGAGAGAGAGACACACAGAGACAGAGAGAGACAGAGAGAGACAGAGAGAGACAGAGACAGACAGAAAGACAGAGAGAGAGAGACACAGAGACAGAGACAGACAGAAAGACAGAGAGAGACAGAGACAGACAGAAAGACAGAGAGAGAGAGACAGAGAGAGACAGAGACAGAGACCGATTGAGACAGAGAGACAGAGAGAGGCCATGATGGGAGAGTTGTATCGGCGCTTAGAGCAAATACGTTCCCTGCAGTGCAAGTCGGCTCATGGGGAGTCATTTAAAATGTAATTTTTTTCACACCGATCCTCGTAATTATGTGCGAATGAAGTCGAGAGAGAAACCCTCAAGTGGATATGGGGCGGTGGGCGGTGACCGCGTGGTGCCGACACGTGAAGGGATGAGGGTTTAACGGGGTCCATTTCCGCCAAGGTACGCAATGCCTTGCCACTGCCGGATTTATATATGACGTTTTATTCCCTCTTATGCCGCCACTCACGGGAGTTGGCCGTTGCGTGCCGGTGCAGAGGGGCCGAACTTTTGTCCAAATTCTGAACAAGTGCACGGCAAATTGACCCTCGGCTGGCATCCACGGAGGTCAGCGGTCGTCGCCAACCCAGCTGTGAGCGCGTGGCAGGGACCCTGCTGGGCAGGAGCCGTGAGACTCGGCGCGGCTCTCGTGGGTGAACAAGCGCAATAGTGACGACGGCGGCGACAGTGATGATGACGACAACTACGACGATGTTGATGATGTTGATGATGACGATGATGATGACGATGACGATAACAATGACGGTGATGATGACGATGATGACAATGACAATGGTGATGATGACGGCAATGATGATGACGAGCTATGACGATGTTGATGACGACAATGACAACGATGATGATGTCGATGTTGATGACGGTAACTACGATGATGTTGATGACGATGGTGATTATGATGTCAATGACAATGATGACGATGATGACAACGACGATGATGATGATGATTTTTATGATGACCATAATGATGATGATGACAATGACGACGATAATGATGATGATGACGCGATGATAATGTCGATGATGATGATGACACGATGACGATAATGACGATGATTACAATGACGACGATGACGACGATAATGACAATAATGATGATGACGATGATGATGACGACGATGACGACAATAACAATAATTACGACGTCCATACTGTCTGAAACAGGAATATGGAAACACTTCCACGACGTGCTGCTCAAGACGTATGGCAACCAGCACCATGGCATCAACGTGGTGAGCGGGCCCGTGTTCGACTACAACGCCGACGGGCGCTTCGATCCCGTCGACAAAATCCTGCAGTGAGTCCTTCACGTCAGCAGCCCGCACTGGCCATCGTCAACCACTGACTTAGCTCGTGGCTAGCGACGACGATGATGATGATCATGATGACAGCGGCCATGATGATGATGATCATGATGACAATGGCCATGACGATGATGACAATGGCCATGATGATGATGACAACGATGACAATGACGACAACTATGATGATCACGATGACGATGTTGCTGCACGCCATCCCTGCCCGCCCCAGGCACACGGACGCGTCGCTCTTCATGCCGGTCCCCACCCACTACTTCATCGTCATCACGAGCTGCCGGGACAAGGCGAAGGGCCCCAACCAGTGCGAGGGGAAGCTCGAGGCCTCCTCCTTCATCCTGCCGCACAGACCTGACAACGAGGAGAGCTGCAACGTGAGAACACCCCCCAGTCTCCCCACCCCCCCACCCCCCACCCCCCCACCCCCAAGTGTCCCCACCCCCCCACCCCCACCCCCCACCCCCCAGTTTCCCCACCCCCAGTGTAGACACCTCCCACCCCCACCCCCCAGTGTAGACACCCCCCACCCCCCACCCCCCAGTGTAGACACCCCCCACCCCCCAGTGTAGACACCCCCCACCCCCCACCCCCCACCCCCAAGTGTCCCCACCCCCCACCCCCACCCCCCACCCCCCACCCCCCCCACCCCCAAGTGTCCCCACCCCCCACCCCCCCCCACCCCCCCCAACCCCCCCACCCCCAAGTGTCCCCACCCCCCCACCCCCAAGTGTCCCCACCCCCACCCCCACCCCCCCCACCCCCAAGTGTCCCACCCCCCCACCCCCAAGTGTCCCCACCCCCCCACCCCCCACCCCCCACCCCCCCACCCCAAGTGTCCCCACCCCCCCACCCCCAAGTGTCCCCACCCCCCCACCCCCAAGTGTCCCCACCCCCCCACCCCCCACCCCCCACCCCCCCACCCCCCCAGTTTCCCCCACCCCCCCACCCCCAAGTCTCCCCACCCCCCCAGTGTAGACACCCCCCACCCCCAAGTCTCCCCACCCCCCAGTGTAGACACCCCCCACCCCCCAGTCTCCCCACCCCCCCACCCCCAAGTGTCCCCACCCCCCCACCCCCACCCCCCACCCCCAAGTGTCCCCACCCCCCACCCCCCAGTCTCCCCACCCCCCACCCCCCCCCACCCCCCCCCCCCACCCCCCCACCCCCACCCCCACCCCCCACCCCAAGTGTCCCCACCCCCCCACCCCCCAGTGTACACCCCCCACCCCCACCCCCAAGTGTCCCCACCCCCCCCACCCCCCAGTGTAGACACCCCCCACCCCCACCCCCAAGTCTCCCCCACCCCCCAGTGTAGACACCCCCCACCCCCAGTCTCCCACCCCCCAGTGTAGACACCCCCCACCCCCCAGTCTCCCCACCCCCCCCACCCCCAAGTGTCCCCACCCCCCCACCCCCACCCCCCACCCCCAAGTGTCCCCACCCCCCACCCCCCAGTCCTCCCCACCCCCCCACCCCCCACCCCCCCACCCCCCACCCCCCCCCCCCACCCCCCCCCCAAGTGTCCCCACCCCCCCACCCCCCAGTGTAGACACCCCCCACCCCCACCCCAAGTGTCCCCACCCCCCCACCCCCAAGTCTCCCCACCCCCCCCCCCCCACCCCCAAGTGTCCCCCCCCCCACCCCACCCCCCAGTGTAGACACCTCCCACCCCCCACCCCCCAGTGTAGACACCCCCCACCCCCCCACCCCCAAGTGTCCCCACCCCCCAGTGTAGACACCTCCCACCCCCCACCCCCCAGTGTAGACACCCCCCACCCCCCACCCCCAAGTGTCCCCACCCCCCAGTGTAGACACCTCCCACCCCCCAGTGTAGACACCTCCCACCCCCCACCCCCCAGTGTAGACACCCCCCACCCCCCACCCCCAAGTGTCCCCCACCCCCCCACCCCCCACTCCGCAGTGTAGACACCTCCCACCCCCCAGTGTAGACACCCCCCACCCCCCACCCCCCAGTGTAGACACCCCCCACCCCCCACCCCCAAGTGTCCCCACCCCCCCACCCCCCAGTGTAGACACCTCCCACCCCCCAGTGTAGACACCTCCCACCCCCCACCCCCCAGTGTAGACACCCCCCACCCCCCAGTGTAGACACCCCCCACCCCCCAGTGTAGACACCCCCCCCACCCCACCCCCCAGTGTAGACACCCCCACCCCCCACCCCCCAGTGTAGACCCCCCCAGACACCCCCAGCGCTCTCCCTCTCCCGCTCTCTTTCCCGTTCTCTATAAATTAGTAAAGTTTGTTTTGTTTACAAACTTTACTAATTGGCTGTGGTTGGGTGGTGGTGGTGGCGGGTTTAACGACACATTTATATTGACGCGATCTAACCCCACAAAAACACCTCTGTTATGGATAATATTGGTTGCCAAAGCCTCCCACTATTGCTGCTGCTACTGCTGCTGCTGCTACGCGTGAATGCGTGCAGGGCGTTTGGATGCTAGAACCCTCCACACGACCATGAGACGCCACTTCGTTTGAGCTGCCATTCGTGATGGCCAGGTCCGCCACTGATAAGAAAGAGTCGTGTAGCTTCAGCGGGACCTACACCTCCTATGATATATAAATATTTAGAGTAGTTTAATTCGTGTCGCAGTTGCCCGGCTTACACGTGGTCAGGTGAGGAGCGGCCGTACGGCGTTCCGTGGCATACGCGGAGCCCTCTTTCGTGGTGGCCAGGTCGCTTCTGTTCACAATCAGAATGTTTATTTATTACGGGAGGAATCCGATGAGCTGTAAAGCTCTTTCTTCACAAATGTCCAGTAGGGGCACCGGGTTAAGGATGTAACAATTGAGCATTAAAAAAAATATTTATTAATGAAAAACACCGTTGTGTTAGATTAAGGATAAGTGAAATAACAAAGATATTTACACAAAGTGACGCATTGCATTCACACTTTAACTTTAAAAAAGTGGGGTAAAGTTGCATATTTATAAATAAACGTGTAATAAATTATGTAATTAAAGAACCTGTTAAAAATAGTTCCATAATATCTTCAGTGGGGCCTTACGTGGCAATAAAGACAAAAGGAAACGCATGTTAAAAGGATGATTTATTTAAGTAAAATAATAACTGAGCCGTGACATGGACATCTGTGAACAACGACTGGACATCTGTTAAGAAGAGCTTTATAGCTCATCGGATTCCTCCAGCATAAATATTGTCACCGTGACGTGACGTCGCCCGCGTGTGTGTGTGCATGCCTATGTGTATGTGCGTGTGTGTGTGTGTGTGCGCGTGCCCATGTGTATGTGTGTGTGCGCGTGCATGCGTGTGTGTGTGTTACAGGCTATATGGGAGGTATTTGTCTTTCTGGTTCAGTGGTAGTTGAATTGAAGGTGGAGGGGCTACCAGCCTATCAAGGGCCCCATTTGGCCGCTGTGGTGGCGACAATCGCCGCGGGGGGAATGGCCGATGTTGCAATTCGCCTTCCCTCCACGGCACAGCTCACATCCACGGCACAGCGTTACCGCCCGGCACCGCCGCGGAGGTAGGGGCACTTAGCCTGGCACGAGCGCCGCGGTGACGTCACGGCGAATGTTGTGCGTGCGTGCTGCAGAGCGACGAGGACGAGTCGCGGTGGGTGGAGGAGCTGGTGAAGATGCACTCGGCGCGCGTGCGCGACGTGGAGCTCCTGTCGGGCCTCGACTTCTTCCACCAGACCAACTTCGCCGTCAACGAGATCATGGCCCTGAAGACGTCGCTGCCGACGTTCACGCTCTGAACGCGCCCGTGCGTTGCCTGTGCGTTGCCTGTGCGTTGCCCGCGGGTTGCCCGCGTGTTGCTTGCGCGTTGCCCGCACATGGGCAGCCGCGTGTTGCCCGCGCACGCCCCCTTCCCCCCCCCCCCCCCCCGTTCCGGCGGCTATCTCGTGTTTGATGGTGTATATTTTTCATACCTAATTTGTATTTATTGACAAGCGGAAAAGCAGCAGCAGCAGCAATAAACAAACAACAACAAAAAGTAAAAGTAAAAAAAAAGGTGTGGGAGCTTGGGTTGTGGTGGTGGGCGGTCGTTGGGGAGGGAGTTGGCATCTCCGCACGAAATCGTCAACGGACTTTCACGCCCCATTGCCTTTCATTGCCGTCTCGAATTTTGCCAAACAAACGACGTTGACAGCAGCAGCAGCAGCGGCAAACTGCTCGACGATATTTAACTCTCGGTTCTCCCGAAGGAAACGCGACGGCGCCTCTCTCACGCCCGCTGGAGCTTCTGCCGCGCCCGACGGAACGTCGGCCGTCGCGAACCCGAGGTTCGGGCGCGTTACCATGTACCCGTGGAAATGTTTTGTAAAAGTTTGCCGTGCAAGACAGTGAATATTACGTGGCTTGGACGAGTTTTTATTTCACCCCCCCACCTCTGCCTGCTACCCCAACGAAGCGGCGTGGAGTGTTGCCGTGTCGTACGTATGTTGTACGTATGTTGTACGTATGTTGTACGTATGTTGTATGTTGGACTTATTTCGCACCGTACATAGCCAAGCACGCTAATCGGAGGCGTGGGGATAAGGCCAACAACACTAAACTCTGAAAGCAGTTCTAAAGAAATTAGTTTTCAATTGAGTATAGCGATGTCGTGTATATTAGTGTATAGTAGTTTAGTGCACTGCAGTGTATAGTGTAGTAACAGTGTAGTGTATCGTGATGTATGTATGTTGAATTTCTTTCGAACCGTATGTAGCCAACCGTGCTAATCGGAGGTGCAGGGGTGAGTGGGTGAGTGTGTGGGTGAGTGGGTGGGTGGGTGAGTGGGTGAGTGAGTGTGTGGGTGAGTGTGTGGGTGAGTGAGTGAGTGAGTGTGTGGGTGAGTGTGTGGGTGAGTGGGTGAGTGGGGAGCGGTGGTGTAGCGGTTAGTGTGCTGCGCTACGACCCGGCGACCCGAGTTTGATTCCCGCCTACGGCCAAAATCAGTGACGATTATCTGAACCGATCCTGGGCCTCCCCAAGGTCGACTCAGCCTCAAATGAGTACCTGGTGTGATGTGTGAACATCGCCACTGGGGAGACAAAGGCGGCCGGGCGTGGTGCTGGCCACCCATCCCCTCGTGCGCCGTTCTGGCCTTCATAGATGTTCGCTAACAGCACTTGCCTCAACAGTCTGTTACAGGCTATACGGGGGATCATTGTTTGAGTGGGTGAGTGGGTGAGTGGGTGGGGAAGTATGTGTGTATGTATGTTGAACTTCCTTAACACCGTACAGCGGGGGATCGACATCGTGAGCCCACGAGCACAACGCTTCAGCCACAACTCTTCAGCGCCGCTGCAGTGGGATCGCAAGTTGTACACCGCCACGAAGCTGAATCTCCACGTTCCTCTTTGTCCGCCGAGGTTGATCTCCCCGCGAGGTTCCCACTGTCGTTGCGCGTGACTCCGGTTGTAAAAAAAATTCTGGGACATTTATAACTTTGATCGTTTTTATTATTCCGCTTGATGATGACAAAAAAAAACCGAATGAGCTTCACCCTTTCTCGGCAAGATGTTCAAACACCAAAGAGACACCGTTTACAGGCATAAAGTGTGCATTGACCACACATGCTCGTGGCAAAACATGCATGCATACATCGATACCGGCAAGCACTCTTTGGTAAACGCGTGCATTGTTGTAGGCCGATCGGTTTCAAGGAGAGCGCGCGTGCGGTTTATCGTTCGTTTGCATGTTACCACGAGCGTGACGTGCGTGTGTGTGTGTATGTGCGTGCGCGCGTGTGTGTGCGTGCGTGTGCGTGCGTGTGTGTGTATGTGCGTGTGTGCGGTTAACGCAGACTCGGTCCCTTGCAATAAGTGCGTCTGTTTTGGCGTTCGCACGTCTTAACGCCCCCTGTATTCTTGCCGGAATGGGTAATAAAGCATATTATTATGTCAAACATCTTGATACCGGTAGTGAAGAAAAAAGGGTCCCATAGATATTATTAGTAGTATTCCGCTCGTTCACCCAGAAGAGCCCCTTTTTCAGGAGGGTCCCGACCACGCTTTCACAGCAGGTGCCGACGATTGCTGCCCTTACGCCGCGGTGGCCAGGAGATGTTAACTACCTCGCCCGGTATACAGGAAGTCGTGAGTTCGATCCAGACCCTGACGCCTGCTGCTGTATACAGTATTTGGAGTTGGCGTGTCTCTCTCTCTCCCCGTGGTCGCGTGGAATTTTCTCCAGGTCCTCCGGTTTTTCCCTTCCGTATTTAGAATCAACGTCACGCGTTTCGAGTCGTTTGGCTGCTGCGAGACATTACCGCGGGATGATGATGGTGATGATGATAAGCCACTTCGTTGAGCCATCATTTGTGATCGCCAGCGTCATCATTTGTGACAGCCAGCCACATTGCAGCTCTGTGGTGGGGCCTTACCTGCTAAACAAAACTAGTAAAACATTTAGTTTTAATAGTCATCCTGGTAGAGTATAATGGTATTTTAGTTTTAATATATATCAATAAAAAATATTTAGTATATGTATATACATATAATATTTATATATAGTTTTAATGTATATGTTTAATAGTCATCCCGGTAGAGTGTATTAATATATATTTAATTAGATATATAATATATATTGATAACATATCTAGTTGTGATATATATTGTATATTTAATTATATATATACTATACATAATAAAATATACATAGTTTTAATATAATATTTAGTTTGAATTCATAATATATAGTTTTCATATATATTTAGTTTAATATATATTTAATGTTTAGTCTCAATAGTCATATTTATTTATTCACAACCTTTGAGGACCTCGACAGATTCGGCACTCGTTCCCGTGGGGGTGACCGTCCAATCATCTCTCTCTCGCGCGTGTGCGTGTTGACACGTGGGCAAGGTAGGGGCTACAGGTAATGCATCGGCCACTCATCTCAGTCATCTGGGTCATCTCAAGTCAGTCGACTCCTGGCACCTGGGTCTGCCCCGTGAGCTCCACCTGCCGGCGGGCGTTCGACACTTCACGTGGCCTCAACGTGCACCTAGCCTGGCACAAGCGTCGTGGCGACGTCACCGCCACTTAGTGGCGAATGGCGGCTGCTGTTGTTGTTGTTTACACGTGGAACAGCGAAGTTCCCGGACACGGGCGAGGGGAGAATCTGTCCCACACGGCTGCGAGGCTGTGAGACCCGCCGCCTGTGCCGGTCTCACGCGACGCCTCCATCTCTCTGACCCCGTGCGTGCCCCACTGGGCATCTGTGAAAGATGTGCTTCATTACTCATCGGATTCCTCCAGCATCAATATTCTGATATAAACACACACAGTGACGCGGGCTGTAGCATTCACAAACACCCCTCCAATCCCTCCATTGATTGTCAATCACCCTGTACCTCCAATTAGCACGGTTGGCTACGTACGGTGCGAAAGAAGTTCGACATACAGTACATAATTCTAGATTTGAAGCTTTCGTGACTGCAAGGATTCATACTCTCAGGTTTTTTCGGTAAAGTCACGTCGGTAAAAAAATTTAATTAAAAGTTCAACACACATAGAAGCAAGACCAGCCTCTCACACGACGCTTCTAATCTTTGCCCGGTCCGCCAACTCTGCATCCCAAGACGCCTCCCACCGTTTGCGAGCTTCTGTTTTTGTAACGTTCCGAGCAATTATACAACACGCGGGTTCCGTATTCTTGGGTCTTTCGGTAAAATCTTAAATTTGGAGCTTTCGTGACTGCAGGAATTACTCTTTTGTTATTTCGGTAGAGTCACGTATAAAGATAAAATAATACATTAAATAATAGCATAGGACGTTTCGATTGCAACACAAGCAATCATCATCAGGCATAAATGAAATAGCAACAAAAATCTAACCAGAAAACTATAGACAGACATATAAGCAGACAGATATCACCAAGATACATAGATAGAGAGTAACACACAGGCACAGAGAGGGAGATCGTCTCTGTGGCGAGGCCTTAAATAGACAGAGGGGGGCGGGGCCGGAGAGAGGGGGAGGGGTTAGAGACAAAATGAACATGTCAATGAGTGCGGCGACGCGTGGTCAAGTACGCAAGGTTGAACAGTAGGAAAGAGGGAGAAAGTCTTTCGGTTAAGTCACGTGGATAGGTTCAAAGAAAATAACAAAAGTTAACAAAAAAACGACGACGTTTCGATCGCAACACAAGCGGTTGTCCTTTTTCCTGAAGACGGCCGCTTGTGTTGTGATCGAAACGTCGTCGTTTTTTTGTTATTTTCTTTGAACCTATCTACGTGACTTTACCGAAAGACCCAATAATATTAATTCCTGACGCGGAGAAGTGCTGCCCCCTTGCTGTGGCCGATCGCAGGCCATGTGAAGCGATCCCAATCATCATCACGGTGGCTAGGAGATATTAACTACCTCGCCTGGTGTACAGGAGGTCGTGGATTCGATCCTGACCCTGACAATGCCTGCTGCTGCTGTGTATTTGCGGTCTCTCTCATCATCATCATCATCCCGGTGGTTAGGAGATGTCAACTACCTCGCCTGGTGTACAGGAGGTCGTGGGCTCGATACCGACCCTGACTGCCTGCTGCTGTATATTTGGGGTCTCTCATCATCATCATCACGGTGGCTAGATGTTAACTACCTCGCCTGGTGTACAGGAGGTCGTGGGTTTGATCCTGACCCTGACAATGCCTGCTGCTGCTGTGTATTTGGGGTCTCTCTCATCATCATCATCACGGTGGCAGGAGATGTTGACTACCTCGCCTGGTGTACAGGAGGTCGTGGGTTCGATCCTGACCCTGACAACGCTGCTGCTGCTGTGTATTTGTGGTCTCTCTCTCCCCGTGGTCGCGTGAATGTTTCTCCGGATCCTCCGGTTTCTCCGTTCCACATTTAGAATCGACATCGCTACGCGTTCAGAGTGTCTCGCTGCTATAAATGACCACACGATGGTGATGGTGGTGATGATGGTGATGATGATGGTGATGATGATGGTGGTGGTGATGATGATGGTGGTGGTGATGATGATGATGGTGGTGATGATGGTGATGATGATGGTGATGATGATGATGGTGATGATGATGGTGGTGGTGATGATGGTGATGGTGGTGATGATGATGGTGATGATGGCGATGATGATGATGGTGGTGATGATGATGGTGATGATGGTGATGATGATGATGGTGATAATGATGGTGATGATGATAGTGATGATGATGGTGATGATGGTGATGATGATGGTGATGATGGTAATGATAATGGTGATGATAATGGTGATGATGATGGTGATGATGGTGGTGATGATAGTGATGATGGAAATGATGATGGTGGTGATGGTGATGATGGTGGTGGTGATGGTGGTGATGATGGTGGTGATGGTGGTGATGATGATGGTGATGATGGTGATGATGGTGGTGATGATGATGGTGGTGGTGATGATGATGGTGGTGATGATGATGGTGATGATGGTGATGATGATGGTGATGATGATGGTGGTGATGATGATGATGGTGGTGATGATGGTGATGATGATGATGGTGGTGATGATGGTGATGATGGTAATGATGATGGTGGTGATGGAGATGATGGTGGTGGTGGTGATGATGATGGTGGTGATGATGATGGTGATGATGGTGATGGTGGTGATGATGGTGATGATGGTGGTGGTGATGATGATGGTGATGATGATGGTGGTGATGGTGGTGATGATGGTGATGATGATGGTGGTGATGGTGATGATGATGGTGATGATGATGGTGGTGATGATGGTGATGATGATGATGATGGTTATGATGGTGATGATGGTGGTGATGGTGGTGATGATGATGGTGATGATGATGGTGGTGATGATGATGATGGTGGTGGTGATGATGATGGTCATGATGATGTTGATGGTGGTGATGAGATCGCTTCGTTGAGCCACCATTCGTGATGGCCAGGTCGCTTCTGAAGAAACGATCTGTCAAGTAGCTCAGCTGGGACATTGACACCCACCCCGGGCGAGAACCACGGGGCTGTCTGCACTATACTATCTCACCAGCGCGTCGCGTGCCTATCCACACCATGAAATACAATCACATATCCAAGCCCCCCCCCACCCCCTTTACCGAACAACCCCCTTATGTGAACTAGACAAACTAACGTCCTTCCCTCCCGCACTTATGCGCACTAAATCGAGCACCCCATCATCGCTTAAGCGCACTGAGAAATCTAACACTCCCAACCTATCCGTGGCTTATATGAACTGGGGAATGTGGAGCTACCCCGCGCGGCGCGCCTATGTGAACTGGGGAATGCAGAACCACTCCGCGCCCCGCGCCTATGTGAACTGGGGAATGCGGAGTCACCCCGCGCGCCGCGCCTATGTGAACTGGGGAATGCGGAGCCACCCCGCGCGCCGCGCCTATGTGAACTGGGGAATGCGGAGCCACCCCGTGCGCCGCGCCTATGTGAACTGGGGAATGCGGAGCCACCCCGCGCGCCGCGCCTATGTGAACTGGGGAATGCGGAGCCACCCCGCGCGCCGCGCCTATGTGAACTGGGGAATGTGAGTGTGAGCGCCACCTGCTCTGGGGGGATGGCGCGGCGCGCCGCGATGGCTGCGGCGGCGCTCGGCGGCGCCCCGGGGGGGAGACGCGGCGCGGGCGACACGGCCCGGAGGCCTCTGCGAGTCGCCGACCGGCGTCGCCAGGCGGCCATCGCCTTCCTCACCAACATCTCCCTCGACGGGAAACCCGCGGCGGTCGCTGCGGCTGCCGCCGGGACCGCGGCGGTCGGCGGCGGCGGCGGCGCGGAGGGCGGTGGAGGTTGTGGCGGAGGAGGAGGAGGGGCCGGCCGGGAGGCGGCGGCGGCCGCGGGCCCCCCGGGCGCGGGGCCCGAGGCGGCCGCGCCGGCGGTGGCGGCCGCGGGCCCCGCCGGTTGCGAGGCCTCCGTCCCGGCCAACAGCAGCGTGGCGAGCGGCCTCGGGGCCGAGCCGGGCGCTCTGCTCGCGGCGACGCCGCTGCGCTCGCGGCCCAGCTCGGCGGGAGCGGCACCCGCTGGGGGCCCCGGGGGGGCCGCCTCGGGGCCGCAGGGAGGAGGAGGAGCGGGAGGGGGAGGAGGCCGAGCGGCCCTGGGGCCCACGCTGAGCGTGGAGGCGCCGGGCGCGGTGAGCGACGTGCAGAGGCAGAGGTGGGGGTGTGCACAGGTGTACACACACACACACAGGTGCACACACACACACAGGTATACACACACACAGGTATACACACACACACAGGTGTATACACACAGGTGTACACACACACAGGTGTACACACACACACAGGTGTACACACACACACAGGTGTACACACACACGCAGGTGTACACACACAGGTGTACACACACACACACACAGGTGTACACACACACACACAGGTGTACACACACACACAGGTGCCCACAGGTCAACTTTGGAGCGGTGGCACAGTGGTTAGCGTGCTGTGCCATGAACCCGGTGACCCGAGTTTGGTTCCTGCACACGACGATTATTTGAACCGGCCCTGGACCTCCTCAAGGTCGACTCAACCTCAAATGAGTACCCGCCGTTGTGTGTAAACATCGTCACTGGGGAGACAAAGGCGGCCGGGCGTGGTGCTGGCCACCCACCCCCTCGTGTGCCGTTCCGGCCTTCACAGCTGCTCGCTAACAGCACTTGCCCCAACAGTCTGTCAAGGCTACACACGTGGAGGATGTGCACACGTGATGCACAGATGGGCACACAATTGCACAACCGGACAGGTGTGTGCACGTACAGGTGTGTGCACGTACAGGTGTATGGTGTATGTACGTCATTGTGCGTCATCGTCATCATCATCATGGCCCACATTTTTAGAACTACAGATTTCACGTTTTGCCTCTGGGGCTGCCTTGGGTAGCTCCCCATCAGCGGACCAACAGCTTGCTGGGCCTACAGCTTGCTGGGCGAAAGAACGCTGCCTGTGAGATGAAGATGCATCGTTTGCGCGGAGTAACTCAGTCCATCATCCCTGCGCGTGAGGGGTGTGGTCGATAAAGTTATGACCACATTCTGTGGGGAAGACTCGCCCCCCCCGCCATGTGAATCAGGAATACCCACCACTGGTTCAGCGCTGTTAACGGGAGATGGCTCAGAGTTTTAGTTTCGGTGATGAAATTGTAGATTTGCAACTGAAAGGATGAACACTTCCCCCTCTAGCCTGCAAGGTCCCAGTGTGCTGGACAACCATCGCGCCACGCCAGCCTCCCCCGTGCGGTGGCAAATATGATACCGTTTTCACTCAATCGCGTGCCTGCGGTGTATGGATGGGGACACACAAAGTCCGTGATAATTGCAAACGCCGCCGTGTGTGGAATACAGCCTCACGTGCGCCTAATAATAATATGGGCGCCTCGGTGGCTGGGAGATGTGAACTCCCTCGCCTGGTATACAGGAGGTCGTGGGTTCGATCCCGGCGCCTGCTGTATATTTGGAGTTTGCGTGTCTCTCTCTCTCCCCGTGGTCGCGTGAGTTTTTCTCCCGGTTTTTCCCTCCCCCACATTTAGAATCAACGTCACGCGTTTTGGAGCATTTGGCCGCTGCTCTAGATTTACACGCTGACGACGACGACGAAGATGATAAGCCCACTTCGGTGAGCAATCAACGGCGATAGCCAGCGTCGCTTCTGAAAAAAAGAGCTTTGTACAGTAGCTCAGTGGGGTTTTACCTGGTAAAATATAAAAGAGTAGTATTACAGTAGTAATGGTTAATAACGTGTCAAATTGTGAACGGGCACGCCCGCGTTCCGTGATTTATTCATGCGGGCGTTGACGCGCGCGACGTGGCATTTGAGAGGCGTGTTATTGAACAACATCGAATCGAGGGATCGCCTCCAAGGTCCCAGAAGCTCGAGCCAGCGCCGGTGAAACATCCTGGCTTCGAATCCCGGGGGGGGGGGGGGGTTTGAGCCGCCCAGCCGAGATGTCAACGGAGTCCTTGGGGGTGCGGCATGTCGATGGTCTCAGGCCGGTTGACCGGTGACCGCGCGGAAAGAATCCGTCGCGCTCTTAACTCGATTTGTTGCTTAATCGGGCGAGAACTTGGTGGGGGGGGGGGGGTGGATCAGGATAGGTGGGAGTGCCGCTTGAAAGAGAGCGAACAAACGGAGCATTGCACCGGCGGTGGTTGTGAGCCAGCGAGCGAGAGCCGATGGCAACTCCAGCGCCACCTCCCCCTTGGCCACGTTCTCCTTTTGCGGTTACGCCTGGCCGGGTGCCGGAGTGGTGCTGGAGGTGGGGGGGGCCCTGTTTGCACGCAATGTTGACCCCCCCACCTCCCTGCCCCCCACGTTGCTGTGTGCTAAGCGCATTTGGAAGGCGATCGCACCCCACTGGCTAAGCCGCGGTGGCGGCGGTGGCGGCGTGAACGGAGGCCGCTGTGTTTTAGAGCCAAGTGCGGTTGCCATGGCTTAGCAAAACACGGGGGGCGGCCTTCACGTGAGTGGCCTGGCGCGGGAGGGAGGGGAGGAGGAGAGGGACGGGGTGATGCGGGCGGCAGTGGCCAGGGAGCCGTGCGCCTGTTGGTGCCCGTCGCGGTTGTGTGGTGCCTGTGGCACCGCCCTTGAGAAGGGCGCGCGTGTGTGTGTACGTATGCATGTGTGTTGAACTTCTTTCGCACAGCACGTAGCCAGCCGTGCTCGCCGGAGGTGACCCCCCAAAGCTAGAGGGGGGGGGGGGGACACAGACACGGCGGAGGTGGGGGGGGCACGTGCGGGGCAGAGAGCAAGGACGGTTAAAGGTTCGAGATGAAAAGGGGAGGATAAGGAAGGTCAGAGTGAGAGAGACGGGGGAGGATGGAGCTGGTGAGCGGTAGGACGGGCGGGACAGGAGGTGGAAAGGGGAAACGCTGGTGGGGAGAGAGACAGGAAAACCCAGAAGGGGAAGAGAGGGGGGGTGGGAAGATAGAGCAGCCGGGAGAGTGTGGAGACGGAGGAGAAACAGAGCTGAGGGGGTCTGCACAGCCAGAGATGAGATGATAGAGCAGAGAGAGCTGAGAAGATAGGAGGGGAGGAGATTGACATTAAGCGTCCGGAGTGAGAGCCTGTAGTGTTAGAGGAGAGCAGGGAGATGTAAGAGAGAGAGAGAGAGCGAGAGGGTGCCGTGGAAGAGGCTGGGAGGGTAGGAGGGAGACGCGGTGTGTTTGCGTGAACAGCACGCACGTATGTATGTTGAACTTCGCTCGCACCGTACGTAGCCAACCGTGCTAATCGGAGGTGGGGCAGGGAAAGCACAACAACACTAAACACGAAATGCAGTTGGAAGGAATGTTTTCTTGTTCGATCTAGACGATTATTTAAAAGTGCGTAGCTCCAACGGCTTCCTAATATCGGAAGGAGGAGCGTTCCAGACGGCCGCAGAAGCAGCGCATCTGAAAGAGCACGATGCGCAGTGACCACGAGCTTCGGGAGCTGAAATTGCAATTGGACCGTGATTTATTAGGAGACCACTGGAAGTTACCATTTTTAAATCATCCTCTAGAGAGTGACAAACTCATTTCTTTAGAACTGCTTTGAGTGTTTAGTTTGTTGTTCTTTCCCCCGTACCTCCGATTAGCACGGTTGGCTACGTACTGTGCGAAAGAAGTTCAACGTACACACACACACGTACGTACGTTACGAACAACACAACTGTGGTTGTAATTGACCCCTCCGTGATCTGATTTGAGCTCGCTCACGGCAAAGAAAGCAGCCCCTGTGGGCCCCCAGACGAAGGCTCGCTCGCGTACACATTGCCACGGTGTGCAGACTGCCATGGCGTGCAGACTGCCACGGCGGCGGCGGTGATGGCGACGGCCGCGCACGCGGGCCCTGTAATCTGGCATCGTGGAGGCAAGCGGTGAGGGACGGTTGGCGGATCACACACACACACAGATGTTGTTGTGAAAGTCCCCTTCCCGTGAGCGCCGCGGTGCCGTGTAACCCCCCACCCCACCAGCTCGCTAGGAGAAGGCAGTACAGGAAAAAAAATGCGGGCCCAATTTGGTTCGGTCTGTGTCAGGGGATTGAGCGTTTCCCCCTCGCACGCGTGGGCGCTCCCAGTTTCCTCGCACGTGTACAAACACTCGGCGTTAATCGGGCGACGGCACTTTCAATACGTAGAGGGGCGCAAGTGCTTGGGAAAGTTGTCAGTGAGCGACTGCCGTGCGTGTTGTTATCATCATGCTGAGTTTTCACGTTGGCCGTCTGTCGAGGCGATGCTCCGTGGCAGCGAGCGACCTTCGCCAAGGTCGCTCGCATCCTTCCTCGGCCCTTGAACCACTGCCCCCTCCCCAGAGTGGCTCATTGGTAACCCAACCAGGGTAGCAAGTGCTTACGTTGTTTTTTCCACAATAGAGGAATCGTGGGTTAGACCGCGTCCATGAAACCCGCCACCGCCACCCGACGCAGCCAATTAGCACGGGTTTGTCACGTAAACAAAACGTGTCAATTAGTTACTAGTTCCACACGAATCAGTTGTGTGTTGGAGAGTAAACCCACTACAACATTGACAATCCCAGCAGCGTGACGTTTCGCCGGTAACAACATCAACCAGCATCATCGGGCGGACAGCCACAGAGTTGTGGAGAAATCCTCCTCCTGCTGCTTGGGTCTGACATAGACACGGGCTGGGGTAATCGGAGAGGGGGTGGTGGCGGCACATTTATATTTGCGCAAATCTAACCCAAAAAACTCTTATGGGTAATGTTGCTCGTGAAAGCCCTACTACTAAAACGTGTTCAACAATTTTTTTTCCTTTGTTTCCTGAAGCATTTCATCTACAGATCACAAACATGCCTGGGCCGCAGGGTGGTAGCTGCTGTCGGGAGCGGTTGCCGCCACGATGTTATTTTCAGTGGGGGGGGGGGGGGGGGGGGGACAGAACGACAAATGTGCCGAGGAATGTGTCTCAAACGTAGAACAAGAATATTTATTTATAGTTGAGGAGGAATCCGAAGAGCTGTGAAGCTCTTTTTCGCAGATGTCCAGCTAGGGCACGGGGTCAGCACGTTACAGCAACAAACAGCACACAAACACGATAGTCGTGCAAAGTACAAGAAAGCTAAACAAATCGCCCAAAGACATAGAGATACAACACTGAACCATCCCCATCCTACCAGGCAAAGCCCACTGAGGCATTAACTTATTCTTTCAGAAGCGACCTGGCCATCACAAATGTTCGCTCAACAAAGTGGCCCATCATTTGGACATTTATAGCAGCAAAATAATCTGAATAATCTCAAAGCATGTTTTTAAATGTGGAGGGAAAAACCAGAGGACCCAAAGAAAGAAAAAAAAATCCACGCGACCACGGAGAGAGAGAGGCACGCAAACTCCAAATATACAGTAGGTGTCAGGGTCGGGATGAAATCCCCAGCCTCCTGTATACCAGGTGAGGTAGTTAACATCTCCTAGCCACCGTGATGATGATGAGAAAGAGACATGCAAACTCAGAATATACAGTAGGTGTCAGGGTCAGGATGAAATCCCAGACCTGTATACCAGGCGAGATAGTTAACATCTCCTAGCCTCCGTGATTGCGATTGCCCATCAAGCGGAGGGGTTGTGCACGTGAGGCCTTCCTCCCCACGCTGAACACTGCCCACGGTGTCCAGCGTGGATTAAGCTGTCGTCGCATGGCTCGCAGACTTCAACTTGGACGTGCGATTTGCACATTACTCGCTGTACGCTCCAGAGAGAGAGAGAAACTGCCCATGGTGGACACCCGCAGCGTCTGCCACCCAAGGTGCTACCCAACCAGGGACTCCTTGGATCATGCGCTGGGTGATGAGGAAGATTGGGGGGGTTGAGGTAAGGGGGGGTGGGGGGCGACGGTGATGGTCGTGTGGTGAGGCCGGGGCGCTGCCCAGCACACGAGGGCCCCTCCGGGGTGGCCGTGCGGCGAGACGCGTTGGCCGCTGCGCGTTCGGACTCGCGCGGCACGTCGTGACGCTTGCGCCCGGCGTGGAGGAATGCGGGGGAGCGCGCGCCGCTGGGCCCGTGGTGACTGACGTTATGGGACGGTGGGGGGGCGTAGGGAACTTGCGCAGCATGTGCTAGCGGCCGTCCCCGCCGTCGCAGCCACACACAGCGATGGAACCTTGTCGCCTTACAAGGGGTGGCAGCGGCGGTGGTCCAGGTGGAGGCGGTGTTGATATTGGCCTGCAAAAACCTACCTTGGTAATCAGTTACCTGAAATAAATACGTAAATAAGCTATTAAACCTGAGACAATTATGTATCTCTCGCATTGCTTTCTCTCTCATCACTTTATCTCTCATTGCTGTATCTCTCATCACTATGTCTCTCATCACTATCTCTCTCATCGCATTCTCTCTCATCGCTTTATCTCTCATCACTTTATCTCTCATCGTTTTCTCTCTCATCGCTTTATCTCTTATTGCTTTATCTCTCATCGCTTTATCTCTCATCACTTTCTCTCTCATCACTTTCTCTCTCATCGCTTTCTCTCTCATCGCTTTCTCTCTCATCGCTTTCTCTCTCATCACTTTCTCTCTCATCACTTTCTCTCTGATCGCTTTATCTCTCATCACTTTTTCTCTCATCACTTTATCTCTCTGTCTGTGTCGATGTAGTAAGGAATTCCAGATGAGATTCACGGATATCCAGAATCGCCGATAGCCAAGTGCGTGAATAATGATGGAATGCCGCACTCCCCGAACAGAAAAATCACCAACCTCACGCAGTCTGGGATGTTAACTCCCTCGCCTGCTATGGAGCAGGTTATGGGTTCGATCCCAACCCTGACACCTGCTGCTGTATATTTGCAGTTTGTGTCTCTCTCCGTGGTCGCATGGACTTTTCTCCTGGTCCTCCGGTTTTTCCTTCCACATATAGAACCAATGTTACGCATTTAGAGTATTTGATCTGCTATAAATTTACACATGACGATAAGCCACTTTGTTGAGCTATCATTGTTGATGACATGGTCGCTTCTCAAAAAGAGCTGTAGAGCTCAGTGGGCCTTACCTGGTAAAATAAAAATTGTTACGACTGTAATTAGTTAATGTGATGGATTTTTTTTCTTAAAATCATGTCTGGTTCTGCGCTTAATTTGCCTTTATCCCAGCTCTTGAGAATTAAAATATCGGTTTGATTGTCATGCGACAGAGCATCACCCTCGTACGGCCAGGCGGGTGGGAAGTTGCTGCCCGTGCTGCGTGTGGACTCAGAGGTCACTCGAAGAAGGAGAACAAGAGGAGGGATCTCGGAGATAGCTCTGTGATATCCGCTTCCGCAGGGACGGAGCGGGGGGGATGAGGCTGTTCTCTCACGCAGGGTCGCACACGCCAGAGTCTCCGAGTGGAATCTTCATCCCGTGACGGACGCCGTTGGCGCGGTCTGGAGATGAAATTGGGGGGTGGGGGGGGGGAACATTTACAAGTGGACGTCAAAACGCGACGCGACCTGCGAACTGCTCTTTTGTTTCCGCACGGCACCTCGTGGGGGCAGAGTGTCAAGCGCCAGGATCTCCGGTCCTCAATAAATCTGGGGGCAGACTCTACCCGTGGGTGCGCACGCACGGGGAGTCTGCCCCCAGTGCCGGCCGGCGTGGTGAAGTATGGTCAACTAATGCTCCCCCCCCCGCCCCAACGACCGGTACGGGCACGAGGTTGGGTGGGGGCGGGGGGGGGAAGGGGTGGGTGGCCGTGGTGATCGCCGCTAGGCTGGGGACGCTGCTGGGCACGCGAGAGCCTCCTTGGGCCGTGTGGGGAGAGACGCGTTGGGGTTGGCTTGACAGAAGGGCCGTAGAGCTACGTGTGCAGTGCCGCCCTTCCGAAGGGTTCCTTTTGAAGACGTTGACGTCTTTCGTGGAACTTTACAAAGTGTGCCGAGGACGACACTGTGACTTATTTGTGCATCTGTTTAAAACCATTTTTTAAAATACAAATTGCGTAAAACCTTCCCGCGACCGAGTGAACGTGTTTAATTCTCGCAGCGCGAGAGCTCGATCCTGGTATCCCGTTCAAAGAACCGGATGATGATCGTGATGATGATGATGAGAATCTCTTTGGCTGCCACTGGCCAGCAAGTTGCGCCGACTGACCTGTGTGTGCGTGCGCGAAATGTGACCCGGAGTTTGTGGCCTTGTTTGCGCTCTCTCTAAAGGCCCGTTGCTGTCTGTCGTGTCAGTCTGTTGTTCAGACGGCGGTTAGCCTCCCAGCGCTCGTCCGTAGACACCCTGGAGGAGACCGAGGCGCTCACCTCGCTGCGGAGGTACGGTATGTCGTACCGTACGTACGTACCGGTGTGTGTGTGTACAGTGCGGGACCCTCCCCAATGCTGCCTGGATCTCTCTCCTCCGCCTCCTCCGCGCTTCTGTCTCTGACGGCCGCGAGTTTCTTGCCTCCTCGGCAGGTTCCCTGTCCTTGCTCTTCCGACCGCCTTCCACTCGGTGCTATCGCAGCTACCCTCTCCGCCTTTCTTTCTCTCGCGTTCCCCGCACGCGTTGCGAGTAGGTGACGGCTGCAGCGCCGGTGCATCGTCACGGCGCTTGCGGGAGGCCGTGAGCCCTTTGCCCGCCTCGTGACACAACCCCAAATCGTCTCGTCCGGCCCTGGCGTCTTCGCCGCCACAACAAGGCCCCCCCTTCCCCCAACGCCCCCCACCCCGCCCCTCCACCGCGGCCTCGTGGAGCTTGCCGCTGTGAGTGAAGCGACCCGCGAGTGACCAAGGAGCAGCGGCCGCGGCAGTTTTTTGGCTAAGCCATCGAATGAAAGACGGCGGCCGCCGTCGTGCGCCGCTTTTCGTGGTGCGCTTCTGCGGTTGTCCGGAGTGCTCTCTTCCGATGTTCGGTTGCAAATCGAAATTCAACGTAGTACGTTAGGAAGCCACTGGGAGCTGTGCGGTTTTAAGCACGTCTAGATTGACACTCATTTCGTTAGTTTAGTTTCTCGTCCTTCTCCCCCCTCCGCACCTCCGATTAGCACGGTTGGCTACGTGCGGTGCTAAAAAAGAAGTTCACCGTATGCACGTGAGCGCGCGCTCGCATGCTCCCACGCTCACCGGGTTGCCGGAGGGGAGCATTTTCGACCCGACAAGCAGCGCCCGCATTTCTGATCACTTTCCTGTCCACCGCAAGGGCCTCTCTTGCAGCGACCGGGGAGTGGTCGAGGAAGCCGCGTGAGCCCTCTTTGGGCCTCCGTGAGGACGAGGTTTACCCGAGCTGGAATTGGCCGAACGAATCTCGGCAGGGCGACACCCCCCGGATCTTCCTCGGTGACGTTCACAGTGGCGTTGCCCCGCTGGGTTTCCTCCTAGGGGGCGCCACGGTGGCTCGGAGATGTTACCTACCTCGCCTGTCGTACAGGATGTCGTGGGTTTGTTCTTGACGCCAGCCGTAGTATATTTGGAGTTTGCGCATCTCTATCTCCCCGTGGTCGTGTGGATTTTTCTCCGGGTCCTCCGGTTTTTCCTTCCACACGATGAGAAGCCCCCACTTCGTACCCTGAACAGCTCCCCCAGCACCGCGGGTGAGCACGGTTGGCTACGTATGGTGCAAAAGAAGTTCAACGTACGTACATACCGTGCATCTTAAGTTTGCACGAGTCGTCGCTTACTCGTGTGAGAACGCAACTCAAGTTGTGGAGGGGAAAAGGGCACCTGGATATTTGACACCAATCCCCTCACATCCGACTTGTCACCTTCCCCCAGTCACCTCTGATTGGCACGGTTGGCTCCGTCCGGTGGAAAATAAGTGCATTCGTGGAGCCAGGCGCCGTGATAAAATCTCCGCCGCACGCCACGACGAAGCCCGGCGGCTGCTTGTTGGCGATGCGATCGGGGGGGGGGGGGGGGGGTGTGAGAAACTAATTACAAACCATAAACTAATTTTTTATTTTACGAGGTAAGGCCCCAACATCTATCCAGCACCTTTTCAGAAGCGACCGGGCCAGCACAAATTACAGCTCATTGAAGTGGGCTTATCATCATCACGTGGAAATGTCTAGCAGCCAAATACTCACTTAAGCGCACGCTAATTATGAATGTGGAGGGGAAAAACCGGAGGACCCGGAGAAAAAATCCATGCGACCACGGGTAGAACATGCAAACTCCAAACAATGCAGCAGGCGTCGAGGTCGTTATCGAACCCACGAACCTCCTGCACACCAGGCGAGGTAGTCAACATCTCCTCGCCACCATGGCGTCCGTGAGAAACGCCGGGCCGGTCCTCCGACCGAGGGCGGGAATCGGTGCGTCCACCGGGCGTTCGACATCGCGAACACGCAGTCCCTGCACCGGCGTTGCTGCAGTTGCGTAGCATCGCGTGGGGGGTGGGTGGGTTGGTGGGTGGGGGGGGGGGGCGGGA